GAACCTCCTCCTTTTTTTTGAAGTCGGTTAAAAATGAGAATATACTCTGACCAACTAACGGTGTGAAAACACAATTCCTAAACATTTTCACGATAGAAAAAAAAAACCACAAACTTACTTCGAAATTTTACGTGAAAATCGCTGTTTTCAATAGGTACTTTACAAATAACAATGATTTTTTTTTATATCAACTGAACTAAATAGAACACGTGTACTATGCGATATACATTTTTGAAATGGCATTAATTTCCTTTGTAAAAATATGAATTCTGAAATAAAGCCAGTATCCCTACCGCTCGACTCAAGCAAAATGAACCGTATTAGGTGGTATTAGTACGGGAAAAATTTTAATTACAGCTGGGGTAGTATCGATTCTATTAGTGTTATTTTACTATAGTCACAGGAGTTATTAATTTAAACACCTTGTTTTTAATTTACAAAAGAAATACTCCAATTTACGTTACATATGTTCTGTTAAATGTTTTATATAATACCTAATATGAATTTTACCTAATTTAGGTTTATTAATATAAACATAATTAGAAATTACTTGGTACTTGGTGCAACGGGCTGGTTTCCGCAACTCGACGACAAAGCGCCTATTTTGCGTGTGGTAGAAATTAATTAAAGCGTATTAATAAGTAGTGCTGCAGTCTTAATTTTTTATTAGGTCTTAGCGATTTAGAGCTGAAATAATAATTTTTAAAAACCAACCTCAGAGGTTTGTGAAATTACATCTATTTGAAAACGGTTAACGGAAAGTGGCTAAAACGCCAATAAAGATTCATCCCCTAATTTGCCACACCTAGAGATGGACTATTTTCTTAAAATTTGTATAATAATAATAATAATAATAACACACACTCAACATAGCCCCGCACTAGGGAACCCTGTGTCGCGGGTGCCATGGACACACATATGTATAGACAACCACAATTTACACCCAAACTCATGAGAGAAACAAATGTAGGTCATACAAATATTTCTCCCGGCCCGGGAATCGAACCTGGGACCTCTGCGTGGCAGTCCGGTATGGTAACCGTTCGGCCACAGAGGCAGTTAATGTATGAGACCATTATTGAGCTACCCCCTTTTCACAAAATAAAAGAATAATCGAAATCGGTTCACAAACGCCGGTGTAATCGCGTAACAGACATACACCCAAAAAAATGAACGAATTGAGAACCTCCTTCTTTTTTGAAGTCAGTTAAAAATAGTTCATTTCCCATGTCGCACTACCATTACAATGGTGTAACTCAAAATTTGTGAAATTCAGGATTATATCATTGCTCAAAGTGAAATTTGATTCCCAACACGTCAATAAAACTGTCGTTAGGATATTATAAGCAACAATCGAAAGATATCTACTTAATTCAAAATTAGATAAACCTTGTGTGAGCTAGCTAGTCCTGGCCAAAATAGTCCTTACTCAAAAATATGAATGATTTCTTCCCTTTTATTTAATTTAAATATATCTGACAAGCAGAAAATTATGCTAGACTTAAACCCATATGGTGACGCTATAAGAAAAAAATTAATACCTTCGGTAGCTCGTGAACAGCTGCTGGAAACGTGAGCTCGCAAGTAAATGGAAGGGAAGCCGTGCTACCCCAACCTTTACTGTCCGAATCGTCGAAGGGCTCGTGCGTAGCGCTTCGCCACTGCACTTGCGGCCGATCACCAATAACGCCACCATGTAAACACTTGTGTACGCAGCTTAATGTTGGGCGGAGATGCGGCTAGTTAATTTATAAAAAATGCGATGTTGCGGATGCGGATTTTTGAGTTCGAATATTAACGTCACACACACACTTATTTTTAATTTCACTGGCGATTTATGCGGTGTTCTCGTAGCACGGATCAGGATGGGAAAGGAAAAGGAGATGCGAGCTCAGACAAAACTATCTGGCGTTACCACCATACATAAATTTTAATGTTCTTTCAAAAGAACAGAATTATTCGTTTTTTATCGATTTCTAAAAAATACACTTTTTGAGTCAATACACTATTGTATCAATAGTGCGATATGTAACAATCGCCAACACCTAAGCAAGCACTCGATGTGTATTTTAGTCTTTATACTACGCAAACACCTTATTTACTTACTAGTATAGTGTAGCATTAAAGAAAAACAGCAGTGACATCAACTTGCATTTCTTATGTGATGTTGAAACACGTGTATACATACAGATAATCGTCTAATCGAGTAGATGGTAATCGATATGGTAATCGTTTTTAATATGATAATGCCTGTTTCCGCATAAATAACATCACGTATTCATGTTTGTTGGTTAAATAATAAATTGAAGAAAAAATGGCACGTACAGTTTTTTTCGGTGAACGAGTTTTTGGTGGTGATATGCGTTTAGTTTTTAGTCGTTGGATCGATCATAATAAGCACTGATAGCCTAGTTTGGAGAATGTTTGCGTAGTGTGGGAGATCCAGAGAAGCATCACTGCCACCACAATATACCTATTCTACAGGATGTATCACGGAGAGTGAGACTTTCTATTACTTGGGGACTAGACGTTGATTGGAGTTTATTTTATAATATCAAGTGACGGGACGAACAAGTCGTGCGCCTGATGGAAAGCTACACGCACGTCCATAACAGTTGGAGTGCCACTCAGAGCTTCAAATCGCAAAGATCTGAGGGGCACTGCCACTGCGCCCGTCACCCTGAGACAAAAGTTCACAAGTCCCATGTGCCTGTAATTTCACCAGCACCCTTACCCTTCAAAACCGGAATACAGTAGTGCTAACATTACTACTTGGCGGCCGAAATAGGTAAGACAGTACGTCTCTGAACGAACTCTTTTACAAGGAGCTCTACTGCTTACAAACACTATGTGCCACCCCTATATTGTGGATATACTCAGGATCCGCAATTCGCACGAACCGTTACGCTTCCTCATGCTGCTTGAAATACACTGAACGTTTTAAATTGGGCATTTTCAAGGCAAGGCATTTTCAAATTTAATAGGCATTATTTAGGTGTGCATGCTCCATCGTCGACCTCATCGTCACTTTCCATCAGGTGAGATGGAGGTCAAATGCGCACTTATTTTCTTATTAATTGAAAGACTCCCGTGGTTAGTGTAGGTACACGTCTTATTCACAGATGTACAAGGTTCATTTAGCTCATGTATAACTATAAATTTTTAAAACGCCGGTTGTGCAAGCTACGTTAATACAATTTTCAACAAATTTCGACGTTTGTTTATTTATTTATTTTAGAGCTGTTACACACGGCGATTTGTATCGATGTAGTAGCGTGCTTACATCGCGTTTGCATCGTTGCTTATAATCGTGCGCGTATGTAAAGGTAGACGACTCTTATATTAAAAAGGGCTTATATTAATAAGCAGTTTATTTTGTAACATAAATAAGAATGACAATAGTAAGTAAACAGATTCCTGCTGATAGAAAGATCCACACCAATTGCCTGGTCTCAAACTAGGGATTTTTCTGTACTGTGATTACCAAAGCAGCAGAATTCATTCCGGCAACTACTAGGAACACCCAGAGCAGAAACTATTTAGAAAAGTTTGGCCCCAAACTGGCCCTACCGAGAATCGAGGCCGAGACCTTCGCATCCAACGCCCATAGTGCAACCCGTTAGGCCACCGAGATTTGTTTATTATATTTGGCGAAATTGCTTCTACTTTGACAAAATATGATTTTATGCAGATAATTAGGTATTTGCCGAAATCTTCTACCTAAAAAATACAACCACTATATATACACTACATATTGTCTAGGAAAACATGTAACAATCACAGAATCTATGTCACTCAATACGAAGTCCTTGGTCGTGACAGTTTCTTTTTTTAACCGATTTCAAGAAAAGGAGGAGGTTCTCAATTCGACTGTATGTTTTTTGTATGTATGTTACGCGATAACTCCGGTATTTGTGAACCAATTTTCATGATTCCTTTTTGTTGGAAAGAGGGAACCTCCATAGTGGTCCCATTTAATTTTGAAGATTCATTTTTATAAATAGCGCCTAAATTTTAGTATAATGAGCAATTATTTTAATAACCATTAAATCTCATTATACTAAAATTTTGCTATTCTTTAATTCAAGGCGTTTTTCTCTCAGTATACTTTCGGTAGTGAAAACAGATTTTTATTATCTCCTGTGTCAAGTCCCGTATAGTGCGAACTAGGGGATGAACCCGGGTTTGCGCACTTTCCGGTAACCGATTTCAACAAAACTTGGTAATTATATGTAAATCCACGTACTTTTGAGGTCGGTTTTTTAGTACTCTATACTGAGATTATTATATTCCAAACTTATATTATATTAGATTTGCCGTTAGTCTCTTCCTTATATATAATATACCTTTTTTTTTGTTGATGGGGGGAAATCTTCCAAAGATACCAGATGCTTGGGAGGGGGACGCCGGGTTATGTGGGATTCTTACCCACTGAAACCCCCCGGTGGCCTTTTTCCGTGCATGTTACGAGGCTCCGGGATTTGTAATGACCGTCACCGGTGCCTCTTACGCTCTTTGCCTACTTAGGCTCCTCTCGGGCTCTTAGCCCTCGCTATCCCTGCCGAGTACGGCACGGCATAGTGCAACCACCACACTCTACCCGGAGGCGCTGTTTGTATGGACTATCAAAGCCCCCATTCTGGGCGTCCGCAACTCCGAGGTCACCTTTAAGTCGCCTTCTACGACAGGCAGGTGATATCGTAGCCTTCTTCTTAAGCCCAGTGCTACAGGGCTATACATACCTTTTTCTTTTAGTTCTATTGGTAGGATTATGCCGGACAGCCGCGGAAACACCCCGCTATAGGCCCTCTCCCGGTCACGTGCGGCGATCTCCTCCTGGAGCATCACCACTTCACAGTAGAAGACTACTATCTCATGGGTCTCTTGATCGGCCAGCACAGCCGCTACTACACCTGGCGGCGAACCGGTCCGCTCGGAGGGCCACGTGGGGCACATACATAATTTACCTAACGTAACTTAACAAAATTTTTTTTTCGCAGCGTTTATGGAGCCCGATCACCTAAGCAAGCGGTACCGAGCGAAGCGATCGACGCAAGAGCGGCGGCGGCAGCAGCGCGACGCACCATACGTTATATACCCAGAAATACTCGTTATTGTTGATTATGACGGTTATAGGTCAGGGATTATTGCGATTATATTCGTTTTTAAGCGTTGATTTTCACAGGTGAACAGATAGACTCTGTCCCTCACACAAATATGTAGTAAAATATACATATATACATACTATACTTGTAACATATATATACAGGGTTACTTATAAATACTAACAACCTCGCATCCATAAACAACAACTTTTACTCCATGACTTTTAATAATTCGTCAGATTTTACTTTCGTACAAAAATAAAAATATTTAAACAGATCGTTCCAAATGGTGATAACACTGTGCAGTCCGATGCAAAACGCAGGAGCGGAGGGTGGGCGTCGTCAGGAAGGACACGTGCATATTTGAACTTACTACCAAATACAGGACTCTAAAACTGAACTTAGACATACGCTACACCGACAATAATGTTACATTGACATTACTCGGACGCTACGCTACTTCGACAATATCAATGCCTTAGTTTCTCAAACTCATATTTTATAAAGAGTGATTTATACAGGAGATGACAAAACTTTCTGTTTATTTTAAATTTCTTATCAGGGGTGTTAATTTGGATGTATTACGTTAAGAATAGGGAAAAGCCAGTGTGTAGGTAAATACGAAGGAAATGTGATGAGACATCAGCCAGCAAAATTTGTATATACAATCCAATTTTTGCATTTCAGTAACTTTGTGCTTTAAGATAGGAGTTTAAGAAAGTACGGCGACGATATGTTACATCGACAAGATTTCACTCAGACACTAAGCTATTTCGACAACACACACGAAATGTCAAATACAAACCTAAAAAGTGTCAGATAGTATAAAACAAAAACTTTAAAAATATTTTTGGTAAATGTATTATGTTTTGTAAAACGTCATAGGACGAAAATGTTTTTTTATGGTGTTAATAATAGCCCTGCGAAGTTGTTAGTATTTTACAAATGTCATTATATGATGCTGTACCTGATACGAATGTTGCATAAAATTTCTGGTTTTCAAGTAAAAGTACTTTTAATAACGTCTATTTCATTGTAATAATTTTGTATTTGTTACATACAAGTGCGCAAATCTGCAATAAAATGTACAGAATTTTCTGCGAGCTACAAGTAGTATTATCCAAAATCAAAACACTAAAGGTAGTGTACATAGTCAAAAACATCTTTGTATTTACAATAATAAATAACACACACACTCAAACATAGCCCCGCACTAGGGAAACCCTGTGTCGCGGGTGCCATGGACACACACATAGACAACCACAAATTACACCTAAACTCACGAGAGAAATAACTGTAGGCCATACAAATATTTCTCCCGGCCCGGGAATCGAACCTGGGACCTCTGCGTGGCAGTCTGGCATGGTAACCGTTCGGCCACGGAGGCAGTTGCAATGCACCCACCCACCGTCAATAATGTTTCCCACAATTTCGCAAAGATTTCTTCTAATAACATTAATTATTACGAATATTCCGTGGTAACTGGTCGTTTTTTAACAGGTTACACGGCGGCGACAATGTGCAAATTAAACGGTACTTCGTATCGTTCTGGAACGGCGTCGATCTCAGATACAAGCTGCTCAAAGGACCCAGAATACGGATCTCCATAGCTGGTATTATTATATCTCGGGTAAGTAAGATTACAAAGGTAGACTACTCATTTTTAACCTTTTAATTGGTATAAACGGCAGACCGTCTGATGGTTCATTTGATAGAAAATAATAAATAACCGTTGCCTACAGAAATGTCTGATATTAAGGACGCATTTTTAATAACCCAAGTAATAAATAAAAAGGGCGGTGGTGATATCCAGGCGGGTTCTGCATTAAAATGGAACCCTTTCACCAGTAAAAGTTTTAGTATAATTTTTAACCTAAATTTTCATGTTGTAGGTGGAAAAATTAAGCATACAATTTGTTACCCTTGCAAAATCGTATCAGGCTTTGATTACGTGTTCCTTTTGAGAATGAATGAAGCATTGTGAAGAATGAATTAATGAAATATTCTTTATTGCACATTAAAATTACAATGACCACACAGAACAGTAATGTAATGTCTATCACAGAGTAAGGCAATGTACAACAGCCGGCCTTATTGCTGAGTAGCAATTTCTCCTTGGCAACCTTAGGATGGAAATTTAAGAGTTGGGGGTGCAACCTAAGAATATCTTGTAAAGAAAGCGGTTTATATAAATACACTACTCATCAATAAAGTAAATATATAAATAATAATAATAAATACATATATTTATAGAACGTATACATAAATATTAATATATTATGTATAGTAATAAAATTACTTAATACTTTTGTATAAAATAAATAATAAATAGTAATAATAATAAATAACAAATAATAATAATAATTAATATTAATGATAATTATAACAAAGAAAGATTATAATATTAAGCAAAAAGGAAATAAAATTAAGGGAATGGACGAAAAAAAACAGAATTAGTAGTTAAGGAAATGTTCGTCGTTTGAAGGAATCAAGAGAAGAGGATTTATGGGTATAATGTGCACCATATTTTTTAAACTCACGTGCTCTTATAGTTCTAATTTATTATTTAGCTTTAATAGAGAAGTTGAATGTGAGATATAAAGTCAAAGATATGCTAAAGTCAAATTGGACCAAGAGAACTTAAAACTTTCTAAATTCGTAATTAGACTCTGCTAGATCTAGAGCTCACTCTTTAATTCAGGCACTTTTAAAATTCTATGCACAGGGTTAAGAGTATGCCAACTTTGACACTTAAGATTTAAATATTATATTTAATTAATGCATATATTGATATTTTACTACTACGATTTTCATATTATATTTTTTGTGTAAATACACCACTAACCTGTTATTATTTACGTGATTTTAAGATTTAAGTTCAGCCCTATGCCATTTGCAGTACAAACAGTACAAAACTTGATGTGCTCTTAACTAGTAATTCAAAGAAGATACAGTTAGGTACTTTTATCAACATATTTAATTTATCAAGTACATTTTTATGTATTAGACATTAGTTTAAAATTGACCATCTCATCAGTTTCAATGCAAAGTTCTTCTAACAATGTCTTCTTAGACTTGGGATATTCCTCCAGAATTGCATCCAGAATCTCTGAACTTATTCTTTTGCGTTTCCTAAAAGAAATTTTAATTGTTATTAACAATTATGTTACTTTAATTTATACAACATATCAAATGAAGCACCTATTATTTGTATTAACACACTAATTTACTCTATTAAATTATTAAGATGGTTTTATTTAGGGTTTGTACAGCCCTCCATTACAGCAACCACTGATTGAATTCGTCTAGATCAAGCCTATCAGGTCATCTGTTGGTGGTAATTCCACTAAGTTCTCTGCCTAATAACAGAGTTATTTTTTGTAATTTATTCAAATTGCTTATATAAATAAAAAATCTATAGTGATTAAAAACTAATTTAGTGATTTAAATTAAAAATATATTTATGAAATTTATATCTAATGCTGAGTAAAAGCTTAATATTTGTAATATGAACCCACATTATAGTTACATTACGTATTATATTTATTATTGTAATTATATATTACTAAACTAAAAGCTAGATATCTGTTCAACCTGTATTCTTTCAATAATTTTTCATGTTCACATAATAGTTTTTTTTTTTCATCTGCACCAATAACTTCAGTGGAGCTTCTCAGTGTTGCTAATTTATTCTCAAACACAACAATTCTTTTTTCAATTTCCTCTATTTGAGTTTTTGCTAATTTGTTAGTTGGTAAAGAAGTTAGGTTCTTTAGAGTTGTTTCAGCTGTTTTTAAGGAGTTTGTTTTTTCTGCTAAGCTGGCGTTTAGTGCTTTCAGTTGAGTATCATAGTCTGTAAAAAAGTTTTCAAATTCGGTATTTATTTTTAAATTTATTATTCATTGCACCTTTAAACACAAAAAGTAAGATTGCTGATTAGATTTTGGTTTAATGTATTGGACTGTACGGAAGGGGGCACTATGGAAATGACTTAAAATCTTTTTAAAGATTTTTTGTTTTAAATTGTTTTTAGTGTTTGTTTCGGATAGATTAGACCTAAATAAACACGTTTGGTTCTTATTATTTTTTCTTCGCAGGCGATTGTTTCAGAGAAAATGAAGATGAAAGATTTCATTTACCAAGGCTACAGGACTTTTTTAAAGTGGCATAAATTGGTTTTAGTGTTTGTTTCGGATTGATTAGACCAGTTAAGTCCAGTTTCCATAATGCCCCCTTTCCTACCGCCTGACCGTTATGTAATATTGTGGTACCTATATAATTATCGTATTCTTTTTTATTTTAACACTAATTCCGTTTCGGGTCCGAAACACCGAGACCAGATTCAATTTAGAAAATTTCTATTCCAAATTGATCCTACCGAGTATTGATCCCTTTACCTCCTCCATCCAGGGCTCTCATTAAAATTTATTGAGCCAACGAGATTGTCAAAATTATTCAGACATAAATATCTGCCTTTCTTTGATACCTTACAAAGATTATTTGTCAGAGTATATAATAACGAAGACAAAATAACCACTATCACTGTCTACTGGCAAAAACTAAATACTAAAATAAATAAATACCATGAAAATATCTTAGTTTACAAAAATCTTTTGAATATTTTTAAAGACATTGTAAATCTCATTATTAGACGCATCTTCTTACCTTCAACATTATTATCTCCTTCAGAACTATCAGGCTGTAAAGCAGCATAAACTTTTTGTTTGCCGTACAGTTTGCATCTGATTTTGGCATTATCACTCAACGCGTCTAATGCTTTTTGGACTGCGCCTTTTGTAAATGCACCCCGTAAATTCACAGTAACATCTGCACATGAATAAGGCCTATTTGTATCTAATAAGTATTTTAGAACTGCGTCACTGGCCATTTTGTGAAAATAAGAAACACTTTAAAACATTAACAACAAGAAAACCACAATCGGAACTTTTCCAGTTGCCGCCAATTGTCTTTTTTTTTGTATATTGGCTTTGCGGTAGCGGAATAAATCCATCCAGCCAAATGTTCAATAATGTCTTCCTATTTTAAAATCCTGTATTTTAAGTAGTTTTATATAAGATCATAAATTTAGTATATCCATAGATTGGCTCTGAAGTATTGGAGACGAGACTAAAACAAAAATACATCTGTGTGCGTATAATGTGCATGTGTGCAAGATAAATAGTGTTGCGCCATCCACTGATTTAATTTTAATATCGATCGATATTACACCGGCATTTCACTTCGTCGTATTCACCAAAATGTCTTATTGCAAAACACGGAGACGTTAATTAACTGATTAATTAATGATTCAATACAACAGATGGACACACAAGTGATCCTATATGAGTATCATATTTCGGAACAGAACAGAACTCTAACAACAAGAAATCACTGATTGACATTCACGAGAGTAGTGCTACACAAAAATCCATTAATTGTAAGACCTGCATGAATAATGTGGGCACAGAATCAGAACGTAACTTTACCCTTTGCTTGGCGAGTTTTCCTTTTTAGATGAGTTACATCATGAACATGTTACCATGACTAATAAACGTCCGTTTAACATTATTTCACATTATAAAGCCAATTATTTTTCAAAAATAAACGAAATTTGTTTCGTTGTCAGCTGACCCTAGGTTCATGCAGGCTCATAGCGTATAATGAAGTGGTCTCGTCTACCCATCTCGCTCTAACATACGTGTATACTAACGCTCTTTCACTTGCATTGCCAATCTATGGGTACCTAGATACTAAATCTATGTATAAGATACACAATCGAACCATAAATCAGAAAAAAAAATTAAATGTACTTATATAACTTATATATAATTCTTATATACTTGTATAAAACGACCATTCAATCAATATTTTTGTGAAATCATAATAATTTGTGTTTTTAAATCAATAAAATAAAATATGAAAATTGTAATATTTTTATCTAGTTATACAAATATCAAACACAACACTTGAAGTCATACGTAGGCAAGCATGTCATTTTACATTTTTAATTGACAACTAAAAAAGTTTAGATTGTAGTTGGTCAATATGAGAAATTCTAGCAAGCAAGTATACATTGCCTACCTACCAATGACGTCATGTGTTCTGAGTTGACCTGTAGTGACGTTAGCGCGGCAATTTCTTTTATTACATTTTAAAATAGTTTTAGGGACAGAAAGCTTAATTTTGAAATAAAATAAAACGTTTTCCTTGGGATGCTTTGTGACGCGACAAACTTTATACAAAATTTTCATTTTCTTGGCTGTACTTATAATAATATATCCATTATGGGTAATTTCATAAACTTTTCAGAAAAGTTGTCCGATTCCACTCTTTGATAGGTTCTTGATAGGTCCACAAACTTACTTGACAGTATTTGGAAATTTATATGATCGATTATGGTGACGGATATTACAAGCAAACACTAAAATCGATTAATATGTAAAGAAATGTTAATTGAAATGGTTAACAGGAATAACAATTTATTAAATTTCTATTCATAACATAGTTGTTTCATAAAGTTGACATAATTGTTAAAATAAACATAGACGTTCATAAATAAGATCAATACCGAATATGAAATAAACACGTTCAAAAACTAGTTTCATATCTAAGTTTAGGAAATTAGCAATCAATTTTTTCAAGGTCGAGAAAGTTACGTAAACACGTCCGGATCACGTCAAACTTGTTCTAGTATCCACGTGACAACGTTTATGTTCCACTTTTATGCATACATGCATAATATTACGCCATATTATGGTGTCAGTTATAGTAATTTATACAGTCTTATTTGTAAAATACTAACATACTCCCAGGACTATACGAGTATTACTAACATCATACACAGCTTTTTTACAACTTTTGTTTCACGACTTTTACAGAACGTAATAAATTTACTAAAAATGAAGTTTTGAGTTTTTGTTATATTCACTGAGAATTTTTCAATCAGCTGTATTTGGTAGTATGGTAGTAGGCAATGTTGCCAGGGCCCTTGACTCGAAAGTTACATTTCGTTACCTACCTTAAACTTTGAACACACATTTTTGCTGTAAAAGTTGCATTTTACGAGTTGGTTCGATTTTTAGTAATTAAAATTCTAAGTGTAATATGTCTTTTACAGTTAGAACTTTTAATTAAAAAACGAACGAAGGTATTAGGCGTATTTATACAGTATTTTTATATATATAATACGCCTGAATCTTAAAAATAAAAAATTAAGTACGCTCTAGAAAAATCAAGCTACAATCAGTAATTGATTATTTCATTTTGTTTGGGCCATCTTAGAGTTACTTTCAGTTATTTTATTGCCTAATTTGGGTGCGTTCGTAAACTATTTAGAATTTACAATAAATATCTGCGCATGTGTTGAATATTTTTTCAAGCAATTCATTTTCCCACCCTTCCTCCACATAAAATTAATGAAATAAATAACACAAACAAAACTACAGTCATAGATTAACTGCATGAAAAAAAATCCAACACAAGCAGCTATTTTGCACGATTTTTTAACTTTCACTGGGTTCGCGGAGCAGCAAATTAATTTACTTCCATTTTTATTAAAAATCTAAATCTCTGATATTTAATAATCTCTCAAGTCAACAATAGTTACTTACATATTACGCGAGATGGTCAAAAGTTACGAAAAATGTAAGAAATGTAACGATCTGGCAACACTGGTAGTAGACCCCACCCCTGTCCTGTGTTTTGCACCGAACTCGTATTTACCTTAGCGCTTCCTTTTGTTACCGTACAGACTTGTCTTTGATTTGCGACTTGTTGTTGACAGATTTGTCACTGTGTGCGAACAATTTAAATATTTTGATTTGTGTATGAAAGCAAAATTTGATGAATTATTAAAAAACAGGCAAAAAAAATTGTTGCATATTATGTTAGTAATATACTGTTTTACAAATAACCCTGTTTTAATTAATTGCATTAACTAATACACGTCAATTTCTTTAAGAAAACAATAAGCGCGTAATAATGTTAATATTTCATTCAGTCAACATTATTAAGCGTAGTGTCAGGTACTATATACATTATAAAAAATTTAAGCAAATAAAGCGCTTGTGATTTACATATGATTTACAATCTATGTTAGAGGTTAATTAAGAAACTAAGAGAACCGCTTAATTGCGCAATGGCAATTTTAAATATGAAATGGGCATACGACTTATGTAAATAAAACATTATCATTTTATAATATTTATTTTATTTGAATATCATAATATTTTTGCTAACATGATATTCACGTCTAACAGCTACTGTTTAGGGTGCTTTTATTTTTAACCGATTTCAAAAAATAACGTAGGTACTCATTCATAGTCCCGCACTAGGGAAACCCTGTATTGCGCATGCCAAGAACACACACATGGTCAACCATAAATTACACCAACTCACGAGAAAAAATGCAGGCGATATAAATATTTATTCCGGCCAAGGAATGCCGGGACTACAAACACAGTTAGCGTCAGCTGTTAGAAACTTATTTTATTTTCCACGATGGTCGAGTGACTTGCACTCCGGTTTCAAGGTGTCGCCATATCTGAGGTCCCGGGTTCAGTCAATGTAGAAAACTTTTCTATATTGTCTCGGGTATAGGTGTTTGTGGTACCGTCGTTGTTGCCGATTTCCATAACACAAATGCTTTAGTTACTTACTTTGGGATCGGAGCAACGTATGTGATATTGTCTAATATATATATATTTATAATAACGTACACACTCAACGTAGCCCCGCACTAGGGAAACCCTGTGTCGCGGGTCCGACATGCTAACCGTTCAGCCAAGGAGGCAGTTAATATTGAATGTTTTCTTAAACACTGACTTTAAATAAATACAGCTGTAGGTAATTAAACAAATAAATCGCGTATATTTATTTCTTCAAACAAACCAACGTTTCCGGCTCTTTACTGGAGGTCTACCCTCGGTCTCTGTAAGACGTCCGTCCGAAAGAATGACTGTCAAATAAGTAATTCTCGACCAAAATTAAAAGACAATGTCAAGTACGAAGCTTCATGCGCATCATGCGTTTTTACTTTAGTCGAGTATTATCTACTTATTTGATAGTCACTGTTTCGGACGGATGTCAGACGGAGAACGAGGGTACAGGCTCACAGAGCCAGATACAAACATATTATGGCACGACAAAGCTATGGGTTGCGATTTTATTGTTCCAATTAATTTTATATAATGTCAAGATGATTAATTTCTGTACTACAAGTTTTCTAGGATGATCCCTGTGACACTTCACAAAATTGTACATAATAGAACCTTGTAAGGACGTCAACTAATTTACGTATTTTATAAACTATTTTTATAATTGTCGCTTTTAAGTGAATAAATTTTGTTTAAGCAAATATAAAATTAAAGTAAAAGTAACACCAAATTAGTGATATATGAGTAGAGAAACAATTTTTTTTTTAATTATCTTTACGACAACGTACAAAGGTTACTTCATTAGACTGCATTTGCCAGAGATGAGGAGATTAAATGAATGAATATATAGTGCGTACACGAGTTTAATCTATTAGGTAATTAGTGATGTGATATTAATGTTTTTAGTCTACATTATGCATTGACTTACAAATAAATGGACGACGGGTCTAATACACAAACCACGAAAAAAATGTCCCAAGTCAACCTATTTAAACGTAGTGACATGTAAAGGAATATGAAAAAGCTAAAACGTTGAATTCAAATTATAATGTCATCGCAGTACTGTCAAATTTTGCTTGCTTCGCTGTCAGTCGAACAAACGAAGACTAACGCGTGAATGACGCTCTGTATACGATTTTAACGCCATATAAGTTCGGACACTTTTTAGCGCGGACCCGACGTTCATATAATTGTAAGTCAATGACATTATGAGACTTTTTTTAAATATCAATCGAAATGGCTGAAAAATAGAAATAAACTAGAAATGAACCTAAGAACTCGATGAGTACAGCTATATTTATTTATTTAAATCGCTACAACACCATTAAAAATATATATTCATGTTTTATAGGGACGAGATGCCACACCTTACCTCGAGAAAAATAGAGTTGGACGTGACGCTATAGACTCAGCTGCCGCGCTCACTGACATGGGCAAGTATCTGTTCAGGGAGCGACGGCTGCCTGTCTACGATATTGCTGTTGCTATCACGAAGTAAGTACCTAGGGGTCTACTCTGATTGTCCGTCCAACATATTTCCGAAACAATTACTGTCAAATAAATAATACTCGACCGTATTAAGTCAATGTCGAGTATGAAGCTTCATTCGCATCATGCGTTTTTTAATTCGGTCGAGTATTACTTATTTGACAGTAACTGTTTCGGACGGATGTCGGACGGACAACGAGTACAGGGCAAGGTTTTAATAATCAGTTGGTAAGGGCGGTAGCCTCAGAGTGGCAAACAGACGCTGGTTCGAGTGCCGTCTTATCGAAGGGATTTTTCTTTGTGTTTCTTCGATCTTTGTATTAGTAAAAATAGCAAAAATATTATTCGGTGTTTTGTAGAAAAGGCGTAAGCAACATTTCGTAGGTTTTTGAAGGGAGCATGTTTTAGGTTTTAAGAGAGGTTGTAACCTCAAATGAGTCTGGTTGATTCCGCAAAACAGTGAAAGTGTTGAATCAATCACTATGTAAAAAAATATATATTAAAATTGATTCCTGAAAATTTTCAGGATAGAAAAAAAAACACTTTACATATACCAATGATTTTTTTTTTATATCAACTGAACTAAATAGAACACGTATACTATACGATATATACTTTTCAAATGGCTTTCATTTCGTTTGTAAAAAAATAAATTCTGAAATAAAGCCAGTGTCCCTGGCGCTCGACCCAGGCAAAACGAACCGTATTAATAGAGTAAGAGTTTGAATTCGATCTGAGGTAGTATAGACTATTAACGACTGTTTTAAAATCCAACTTAATTAAAACCAAACTTGAATTTTGAAACAGGAAATAAATATTTTAAAACAGACGGTAAAACTCAAAGCATGCTCCTCTGAAAAATCTACGAATTGTTGCTTACGCCCTTCCTAGAAAACATCGACTATATGAATATCATTGTAGTAAAACTATCATGATGTTCAATGAAAATAATTTTTTTAGGTTTTAATAAACTCAATTTGAAATAATTAAAAAACTAATTCAGAATGTGATATTACAGTTACACACTTTTGCTAAGATTGCAGACATTATAGCAAAGGTATACGTATTGTAATAAAAATTGCATCATAGAATGCCTGCCCACGTGAGGAAGACAAACTCCTTTTATGCATTAACATAGAAATGATATTTTTACGGCATCTGTAGCCATGATCTTGACTCCAAGTTGAGCAAGACAAATAAGAATAACTGTTACTAAGTTTCCACATAGGTTTTGTATTTTAATAAGAGGTAGAAATAAATACCTAGGCAATTTCTTCGTGTATTTTTTTTTCATATAATGCTTTTTTTATGCATTTACCATTTGGAATTCCAGGTAACAGAGTGAGTATACAATTAATAATTATAGTATTTGGCGCCATTATTCAAAGATAACTGTCAAAATTACTTTACAAGGTTAGTTATTTGTACCCCGGTGACGGTCGAAACAGTTGAAATGAAGACACCAAAAACTAATTTGACCAACAGGTATGACATGTGCCGACGACGGAAAGGTGGTCGCTGTACAAAAGGCACCGCTGGTAAATTAAATTAATTTTAAACCAAACATTCATAGGATTGTGATTGGTAACCGCGTGACATTAACCAGCTTACGATTGGAGATAATTAATTTGGCTTTATAATTTTTAATATACGAGGTAAAGGATTTGGTAATGGCGCTGAAGCAAATTTAGATGTACACTAAGTTCACACAATACACATAGTTGATAGCACTACCTAGAGTCGTCTATTGTAGGTCAAAAGTAATATTGTATTAAATTTTTAGGGTACCATGAAGGAATGAGAATTTATTATTAACATTTAATTGAGTTTGATATATTTCCGTGCCCTTTCAGACTAGACATGTGCAGGAGGCAATATGCGAACGATGCGTGCAATAGAGGGACCGCAGGTAGGCGTGTGTCGGAGAGACACAACCTTTCCCAGAAAGCACGCCTTTACTCTTTCATTCGTCCCTCACTCCCTTTATGTTACACGAGAATTCACACTCAAAACCCTCCCGTGAATCCAAAATGTCATATTCGCACTTGTGAATAATATTCTATCTTTTCTGCAAACATTCTTCTCTTCTATAAAAATGTACATTTCTCTGATCTGTCGTAGTTAATTTTGTACATAATTTATTTATTTCCATCATTATGTAGTCTAGTATGGAATCATTCAATCTTTCTTGTATAATTTATTCATTGATTGTGGAGTGTCACCGTTGAAATTCATTTCTTTTCAAATTTATTATATTTTTAGCCAGCTGAAATCTTCAACATAAGTACCAAGTTCGCCGTGTAAGATTTATTTAATTTATTCAAATTATGCTGCAATGGTATTAGGCGGTTTATTATATTGTAATTTATGTGGCGATATGTGCATGCTCAAAATTTATTAAGTCTTGTGTGTACATTGTACAGTGTAACTGTATGTTTCGATTATCGTTGACCAGTGATGGGCAGTGGGTGAAAACCCAATTAACCCGCCCGGATTATAACCTGGTTTTTACTCATTTTAGCCCAAAATCGTGGGCAGAAACGGCTAATATGGAATTTTGCATAATTCTGTACTTATTATAAATTTCGATGTAAAAAAATATTTTTTAGACGAAAAAGAAGCAACTCCACTCAATACCCACCTTGCAATCCTATGGATTAAGGATGCAAATTACAACTTGACTTTTATGAAGATCGATTCTAGTGCATACGATCTTTCTTATCGATTTATTTTAATGCGATTTCCAAGCGAATCGATTCAATGGAAAGACAAATCGAATCATCTAGATCAGAAAGCTATAAACATTTTGTAATATTTGTTTATTAATTAAATTAACAAATATTTACTTGTAAAGTTTTTGCCTTCGATTTTGAAGCGTTAATGGGTTATAACCCGATTTAAACCCATTACAACCCGGGCGCTTGCCCATCTCTGTTGTTGACACTTATTTCGAAATTTCCATTGGCATCTTAGCATTAAAGATTACTTGCCAATAAATAGTAACAAGAAAGTTACGTAAGATTTGCGACCAGGTGGCCCTACCTCCCATGAGCCACTGAGGTCATGATAAAGTTAATTGGATGCCCTTTATGTGTAATTATCCAAAAAATTATTTCTCGATTCAACATTAACTGTAATCGAGAAATGCAAACAGGGTCGAAAGTCAAGGGCTACCTCCCTAGTAGCGACTTTTTTTTTGACATGACAAATCGAGCGGGATAATTTAAAAGGTTGTTTATTTATTTCTTAATTCTTTCGTCAATAAATATATACATTTATTTATTTAGCTTATCGACCCATCAGGTTAAACAGGTAACAAATAATTAAAAACTCAAAACGTAATAATACTTTTATACTAAAATTAATTTATGTAAAAATTGTACCTAACTACAAAAACCCGCCATTTTGTGTATTATCTCTTCCGTCAAAATGTGAAACGTTTGTTTGTATTTTTAGTTCAGACTTAGGACGTAGTATTCGTTCTTACATCTAAGTATTCGTTCTTACTTAATAACTATCGCATGTACTTATACTAAAATATTGAAAATTTCAATATTCAAAAGAATGCTACTTGTGAGTAGGTATATGTTATTTACTATTTCTAAGTATACATAACGTAACAATATGTGTGCATGGGGGCTTTGCATGTTTAACTAAAGCACGTTCTGCACAACAATGCATGTGGATGATCTTTGATTGCGCTGATATAAAGCCGAGTTTTTTTTTCATTTCGCACTCTATGGCTAGTGCCTGTACTAGTGATGGTAAGTGAAAAAAATATATCGATATGTATCGGATCTACATTTATAAACAGTATCGATATTTACTGACAAAATTTGCCCAAAGCCAATATGTATACCTACAAACATTAAAAAAAAAAATTAAGTACCTAACCAAACCTTCAAACGTACACGTGTTAACATGTAATTTTTCATGCTGCCCCAAATGGTAAATATCACACTGAAATGCGTTCAAAAACATAACGACGATATATAGCGATTATTTTCTGAAAAAATATGCATATAATGGTATACCGATATTTTTGACCTAAGCCTAGCTTATGCTTGAAACGAGTAATCTAAACACGGACAAAGTTTTGCATTGCTAATGTCAGAGATCATTTTATGCATTTTTGAGGCGATAGTTGTACACCTAATCATCTATTGCATGTACTCCTGTTATTTTAGACTTATTTTCACTTAATATTGTCACATCATAACTATCTGGAAGAAGAAAAATCGTCTTTATTTTATTTGTAAGTATGTAAAAATTGTGATGTAAATAAGTAAATATATATCGTATCGTACCAGAAGTAAAAAAAAACATTTATTTTCTATTACAATATTTGCTTTACGTAGCTTTTTCCTCTATTATCCGGCCATTCCTTCTTTATAATAGTCTTTTAGTTTCTTCTCTATAGTCTTTTAGTTTTCTAGTTTCGTCACGTTTATTTTTGACATATTCCAAAATTGATGTTAACGGTCAAGTGTTCGCAGGCAAATGTGCGTATCCCATAGCCAGATAAACCGGTAATCTAAGTAGAGTTTCTGGAATGGAAAGAAAAATTCCCAACTTTTTCCCACGTTCTGGCGCGAGTTTAGTCTCAATTTACTTTGCCACGGCGAATTTGTGCATAGCAAAATTAACTTTATGTTAAATATGTAACGTTCAAACTAGATATGACGACACTCTAGCTGCGGGAATTAGCGAGACTGTGCGAGAATTCTCTGGAAGATGCGGGACCTATTTTTTGGTTTGTATCTAGTTTGTACGTTACACAATTCTGTGGCTCTAGTGAAAAGGGGTGAAAGTAAAAAGGATAACTTTACAAGGATACGCGAAAAACACTTAACGCTTAATATCATATCAAGCTTTAACTGTTTTTCGCGTCTCCTTGTAAAGTTGGGTTTTTTTACTTTTACCAGGATTTTACAAGGATGTGGTTACAAACATTTCCTTTCCATTTCAATCCGTGGTAATATATTTTGAGGCTTAGGAAATTGAGATTTATACGACACGACACGATGACGACGTGAAAATGAAAAAACTGTAATAATGTTAATCTCTTTAAACTTATCTCTCAAAGACACTTTGGGGCCCAGATTGTAAATAGCCCTAACCGCACGTTTCTGGAGGACAAAGATTCTATTCATATCGGCGGCACTATCCCAAAGCAAAATGCCGTATGACATTAAACTGTGAAAGTAGCTGAAGTAAACAAACTTCGAAGACTTTCGAAGTCTGAAAGTTTTCGTTTTTTTAAACCGCGTGCACTACAGAGCTGAGCCGTTTTGATAACTGACTTATATGTAAAGTAAATCCAACAGGATAACATGTCGTCTAAAATCAAAACATGTGGTTCGCCAGGTTACCTGTGTTCGGCAGTTGAATGCAATAGTTAAAGGAGTAACGGAAAGTGTGCAAACATGCTTGAGAAAATTAGTAGTTTATGTAACTGTTACATAATGAAAGGCATTATAGCTCGATTAGGGTTTGTCGAGCCGACAGGCGAGTTTCATAAAAACATCTCACGAATGTTTTAAAGCTTAATTATGTACAGTTACATACACTGCTTTATCTACACACATATTATAAGCGATCTGTGATGTGTTCAGGAACGACTGGCGAAATGGCGGCAAATAAAAACTTTTCTCACGCATGTCACACAACCGTAGCTTTTATTTTTAATTCATAGACAAACGTAGAATTGGCCCCAACCATAATATCGTTCGATATCAAGTAACGTGTGAAATTGTCAAAATTGTTTGCTATTGACATTTCATTTCGAATAAAACTTCATCTTGACTGATATTACAATTGAGGTCCAATCAAATTGTTTTGTTTTTCAGAGATGTTCGAAATTATAAAACTTTCACAGATAAGTGTTCTAACAAAACAATTACGCTGGTCGTAATTTGCGGTTTTTGAACACATTATAGATAGTTTATGATATGTGTGTAGATAAATATATTTAAAATAGAATATGTTGAATAAATTGTGACGAAATTGGAATTCCTATTATAAAATATATATATTTTCGGTAGATAATAATTTAATACAAGTATTATGCTCAGGGTTTGCGTATGTCGGCGGCGCATGTGTTGTAAACAAGAGACTGGAAAAAGTAAACTCGGTAGCCATCATTGAAGATACCGGAGGTTTCTCTGGCATTATTGTGGCCGCCCATGAAGTTGGACATTTGTAAGTATTATCCACGTCGTCGTAACATTTTTTTACGATATCAAGTGACAGGAGGAACAAGTCGTGTGACTGGTGATACCTAAGTGACATTTGTACCTATAACAGTTACCTACAAATATCCGCAAAGTAATTTTGCACATGAAACCGAACACTGTCGTAACTCAAAAATGGTGGAATTGAGAAAACAAGATTTGATAGTTAAAAAAAAATACTGAATGAATCTTACTGCGAATTGAAATTGTCACGTATTAAATCAATAAACTAATTTTATTTAAATCGGTTAACTAAAACATTTAAATTGGTTGCTTTCTGTTTAGTCGATATTTTTTGTCTGTTTAAATTATTTTTTGAAGGAACACTTGTCTTTTAAATCAGTGTTTCAACTAGAAATGTACAAAGTTTGTTTTGTAAATATGAAAATCTTGCTTAGGTCGCCATTATTTATACATAGAATCTATTTTCATCCTTCAGATTGGGGGCAGTCCACGACGGCAGCCCCCCTCCGTCATACCTGGGTGGTCCAGGCGCCGAGAAGTGCCGCTGGGAAGACGGCTACATCATGTCCGACCTGAGACACACGGAGAAAGGTTTCCGGTGGTCAGCTTGCAGCGTGCAAAGTTTCCATCACTTTTTAAAGTGAGTGTTCCAAGGAGAACTACTAGTGGAAATAAAGTTGTTTTTTAAATAACAGCTTAATTAATCCTTGCTGATTCATAAATGTTCACCTAAACGTGACAAACGGTCTTAAAATATATTTTTTTAAATAATATAAAGTGTCAGGACGGACAAGTCGTGCTCCCGATGGCAACCTACACTCTTGTTCATAACAGTTGCAGTGCCACTCAGAGCTTTAAATCGCAAAGATCTGAGTGGTACTGCCACTGCGCTCGTTACTACGAAACTTGAAGTTGACAAGTCCCATGTGCCTGTAATTTCACCAGCACCCTTTAAAACCGGAACACAGTAATGCTGACATTATTGCTTGGCGGCAGAAATAGGTAAGGTGGCAGTACTACCCTGGAGGAACTCTACTGCTTACTAAATATTCTTTGGAGAAAACTATTTGGGTTGTGACTTTTTTGTGATTAACATTTGACACGTTTAGATACGTTTCTCGAGGTCCATTCTCGTTCGCCGTCCGTAACAATTACTGTGAAATAAGTAACAATCGGCATAATTAAAAGACAATGACAAAGATGAAGCTTCATTCGCATCATGCGTTTTTTTTTAATTTGGTCGAGTATTACTTATTTGACAGTCACTGTTTCGGACGGATGTCAGACGGAGAATTGAACAATATTAACTGACAACATTAATCGAAACTGACACTGGCCCAAGCCTAGTGACCGCCATTAAGGAAATAGAATAGAGTGAGGAGAGTACATGGCCAGATACAAACATATTGTGGCACGACATTGCGGGTGTCTTACGTGAGTGCGAATGCCGATTACGCGAATGAGGATAGTGCGAATACGGTTGCGCGAAAGCTTTAATATTAATAATAATATAATATAACGCACGCACTCAACATAGCCCCGCACTAGGGAAACCCTGTGTTGCGGGTGGAAGGACACACACATGACAACCACAAATTACACCCAAACTCACGAGAGAAATAAATGTAGGACTTACAAATATTTATCCCGGCCCGGGAATCGAACCTGGGACCTCTGCATGGCAGTCCGGCATGGTAACTGTTCGGCCACAGAGGCAGTTCCTTTTACCGTTTGACGCATGTTTTGTAAGCAATTTAAGTAGGGAGTAGAGTTTAAATGCACGATCGTTCATTTGCGCGAATGGTCAGTTGCGCGATAGTTCATTTGCGCGAATGACGATAGCACGAAGACAGTTTAGCAAAAGCTGGAAGGCAAGTTAATTGTTGCAAGTACTCCCATGGCTGCAGTTTGTTGCAATTCTTCGCACCGTCTTCGCACTATCGTCAGCCGCGTAATCGGCATTCGCAATCACGTAGGACATACCGACATCGATATGAGTTGCTATTTTATTGTTCCAATTAATTTTATATGTCAAGATGATTAATTTCTAAGATACATAGGAAATGAAACTGTTTTTCCGGATTTAAATCGCGTATATTTGTTTTTTCAAAGATACATTTATCAATATAATTATCATGATAAATATGATTATAAAATTATCACTTCGAACCTTGCATAATATTAAACATAATATAATAAGAACTGCCTCTGTGGCCGAACGGTTACCACGCCGGACTGCCACGCAGAGGTCCCAGGTTCGATTCCCGGGCCGGGAGAAATATTCGTATGGCCTACATTTATTTCTCTCGTGAGTTTGGGTGTAAATTGTGCTTGTCTATGTGTGTGTCCATGGCACCCGCGACACAGGGCTTCCCTAGTGCGGGGCTATGTTGAGTGTGTGCGTTATTATAATGTTTTTTTTTTATTTCTGGCTTCTATACGAGTGTCTAGTCAGTTACGGGAGTTGCACTTTATATTGACTTTTTTTAAATTTTAATTGTAGTGTTGACTATTTAACACTGCACTTTAAGTCTATTTCCAATACAAAAGTTACAATAATATACTATAATAAAAAAATGTTCTATATCGCCATGTCTGTGAAATGTCACTATTAATTTGTCAACTAATTTTATTCTAAACGACGTTGAATTTTTGTTATTGCTTCCTATTTCGTAGTAAAGATACGATTATAAAATAAACAAGATAACTTATAAATAACAGATTATGTAATAAGAAATTTAAAAATCATTTTTTTATCTCCAGTGGTGATACAGCAACATGTCTATACAACTCGCCGCACGAGGACGATTCTTTACCACGAGTACTGCCCGGCCGGCTACTCACGCTTGACGCGCAGTGCCGGAAGGATAGAGGCACTAGGTAAGGCAACATTTTAAGTTAAGGTATGTCGTGTCGTTGGCTGTATAATCGCTCCTAATGATCAAATGTGTAAAGAAATTGAGAATACACTGGCAAGCGGAAAGGAAGAAATACTGGACCCTAAAGGAGATAATGAAAAGCAAGTACTTACGTGAAAAGAAGGACTTTTAACGTACGCATTCTTCCATTCCTGACTTGTGGGTGCGAAACATGGCCACTAAATAAAGTACACAGAAGCAAACTACGACGGGTCAGCGAGCAATGGAGCGCAGCATGCTCGGCGTGAGGTAAATTCAAAAAGTGGGGAATTACAGTATTAGGAGACGTATCAAGGTAATAGATTTGCGTTCAAAGGTAGATCAGGCAAAATGGAGCACAATAGTCACCAATTGGTACGCACGTGGTGCAAAACGTAACAGAAAGCGACAACATCAAAAATGAGGAGGATGAGCTGAAGTTAAATGAAGGCCTATGTTGGAGAAGAGTAGCTCTTAATAGAGCACACTGGAAATATCCGGTGGAGGCCTATGCCAAGAAGCACACTGAGTTAAGAGATATTTTGTAAACATTTAAAATGCAATATAAAAAGTATTTGTAACTCAGCTTAAAAGGGTTAATAAATAAATAAATTTCGTGTATATATTTTCTTACCAAATGACGTTTTTCCGCCCCGGCGGAGTCGTCACGCATAAGCACCTTGACCCTTCCACGTGATTACGCTGCTGTTACCACTATCAGTCGACCCATTGCTCCACAACCACAACCCAGGCAGTTACCAACGACGGAGTAGAAGAAACGGGAACTCATCTCTGTAGCTGTGTCGTCAATACCACGAGACGAGTTGACCAGTGCGACTAGGACGGTTCCAAAAAGGTGGAACAGAAAAAGAAGTACACCAGCCGTAACTTTAGTGGCACCGCCCCGACTCGTCCTAATAGTTGCGTTTAGAATCCACACAAATTTAATTCGAAGTGTATTCCATAGCATTTAAGTTTATTTGAAAAGAGCAATCCCTAGAGTTTCTTGCTCGTTCTTCTCAGGGAGGTCAGCGCCAGCGTAGTGAACGAGCAGTAGCTTAAATGTGACGTTTTCAAGTGTAAATTTATTTTACCTATGGAATAAATAATCTTTGACTTTGACGTTCAGCAGTACCGACGATGTTGTTATATGTGTCACGGCAAAGTCTGTGGATATTGTGGAGTATATACGGGTAAATTGTATGTTGCATGTATGTTAGTACTTAAAAATAAAAAAATAAAGAAAAATAAAAGCGATAATACGATTTTGGAAAAAAACTTTGACGAAGTGGCTAATTAAAAAACAATATTAACGAAATGAATGTCATAATGAAATAATATGCTTTATGCACAAGTTTCTTTTAAATTATGCACTTATATATTAAACATTGTACGCCAGTAGCGGGTAGATTGTGAGGACGATATTTATGTATATAATAATAGGTTGGGGAAAAAGTTCTTTCGTATTTCATTGGTGTAAAGTTGTATTAAAATCTCTTTGGCTGTACAGTATGTATCAGGCTGTTTTTGATACCATCAGAAGGATTACATTTAAAAAAAATAAAACCCGATTCCCGCCATTTTTCTTTTGTTTTTCTGCCTGCCATGATGAGTGAATTTAAAGAAGAAATTCGATACATTCTGAAGTTTTATTTCATGAAAGGGAAAAATGCGACACAAGCTGCGAAAAAAATTTGTGACGTTTATGGACTTAACGCAGTGTCAGTAAGAGTAGCACAAAATTGGTTCAAGCGTTTTCAGTCCGGGAACTTTGATGTCAAAGATGAAGCTCGTTCTGGCCGCCCTGTCACGGATAAAGTTGATGCCATTTTTGAAAAAGTGGAGCAAGATCGACATATTAGTAGTTACAACCTTGCTGAAGAGCTAAATGTTGACCATAAAACGGTTTTAGCCCATTTGAAAAAGTCTGGGTATACAAAAAAGCTCGATGTTTGGGTACCGCACGAACTGACTGAAAGAAACCTAATAAACCTAATAACACTATTTTTGTATTCTAGCCCTTTACGACGAAAATGCGAGGTGGCTGGAATTATGTGTCTGAGAGTATATTTGATTTCATCTTTTATGAAACTACGCTGTTATCGAATTTTTAAAACGATTTTGATAAACATTGTTAATGGTCAAAAATACAGAAAGAAGTGTTGAAAAAGTATCTTTTTGTTTTTTCAGTAATTGTGTCCAAACTGGCTAACAATACTTTAGAGGATCTTCGAGCCCTACTCATGGTGGGTGGTGAATTTTTCATTTCAAATTCATATTTCAACTTCGACGTATTTATTACAGCGCGTGTTTCAAAGACGAGCGAGTGTGCGCGCAGCTGTTTTGTTTCGACGCGGCTAGCGGGTACTGCGTGGCGTACCGGCCCGCGGCCGAAGGGTCACCGTGTGGGGACGGACAGGTAATTATAAAAATAAATTAAGCTATTCAAAAATAATATAGATTATATTATCATATTAAACATCCGCGACATAATAAACGTCCGCGTCGCAAACTCTCAGCGTGCAGACGTTGGTTACTTTTTTATTATTATATTCAATCTACCTACTTAAAATGGTGAACTGCAAAAAGTGTAGACAATTTGTGTCTAGAGGCGAAATGGTTCAGTGCAAGGGTACCTGTGGTGGAAATTATCATAAGAAGTGTGCCAGTGAAGGTAAATTATTATCAAACGCAGGGCTATGCCTTTGTTGTGCCAAAGATGAGGGGACACCTGTATTCCAAGGCTCAAGGCTGAACGTGGACTTGGAGAAAGCATCACCCAGTGCCATACTTGGAGAAGTCAATAGTAAACTTGAAATCCTTTTTTCTGTAAAAAAGACGCTTGATGATCTTGTTGAGGCAGTCGACTTCTACGCTCAGAAATATGAGGAGCTAGTGAAAGCGCAACAAAAAACGGATCAAAAGATGGTGGCTTTAGAACAAAAGAATGTATACTTAGAGAAATATAGTGCAGCTTTGGAAGAAAGGATTTCTGTTCTGGAGTCAAAGGGCAAAGAGAGAAATATTGAGATTGTCGGTTTGCAGTCAAAGGAGGGTGAAAATATAAAAACTGTAGTAGAAAAATTGGCCAAAAAGATTAATTTGAATCCAATAAATATATGCGAAGTAATGAGGGTGGGAGTGGAAAAAGTTGATAAGGAAAACAAACAGCGACCTCGATCAGTGATCGTGACCTTGAGTTCTAGTGCTGTGCGCAGCGAATGGTTGGCGAAAAAAAAGGAGCGCTTCTACAATAAGGATGTCTACTCTGATGGAGATAACACACCGATATACATTAACGAGGACCTAACGAAGCATACACGTCAACTCCTATGGTATACAAAGACGGAGTTAAGAGAAATCTATAAATATATATGGGTTCAAAATGGAAAAATACTTGCCCGAAAGGATGATAGTGAAAAGAATAAAAAAATATATGTCATACGTAAGGAGGAAGATGTAAACAACATGAAGAAGAGAGAGTGATGTACGAATAAAAATATTTAATAATAATGTAGGTATCTCTTCTTTATATAAAATTCAATGATTTACTGTCGCATGTCTGCACGAATATACAATATACTAGATATGACAGTACAAATAAATGGAGTGCAGACTTATTAATTAATAATAATACCCTAAATATATTACATTTAAATATACGGTCACTAAAAAAGTATTATAATCACCTACTTGTGTTAATGGACACATGCCAAAAAAACATAGATGTTATCGTATTGTCAGAAATAAACATCACTAGCGAAGAATTGTCTATGTTCGGAATAGATGGATTTGACACATACATACATGCACGAAGAAACCGATCTGGAGGTGGAATTCTAGTTTACTATAGGAAAGAATATAATTTATCTGCAACAGTTATAGAGGCTAATACTATGGAAGTGTTGTACGGGAAATTATGGAGCAACAAGTGCGGAGACATGCAAATAGTGGCTGTATACCGGCCTCCCAAAACAAACAGGTTATGTTTTGTAGACGAACTGCATAAAATATTAAAGAATATCAATGTTTCCTCAGATACGATACTCATAGGCGATACTAACATGGATTTAAGAGATGAGAGCATAACTGGTGTAAGGAAATACAAAGATCTTTTAAGTAGCCAGGGGTTCGAGTGTGGGATAACAGATTTCACGCGGGAGGAAATAGTCAAAGACTGTGTGGTTCGGTCTTGCATTGATCATGTGTGGGTGCGATGCCGGGCGCGCGCTTTATCATCTTTTGTTCTGGGATGTAAGATCGCTGATCACTACCTGATAGGATTGCAGCTGACTTCGGATAAAGTGTTGTGTGGTGATAGTAACATAAAAAAAGTGCGAACAGTGTTAAATAGTGAACGTGTCTGTGAGCAACTCGGTAAAGTATGTTGGTCAGATTTAGATGGAATTAATTGCCCTGTTATGCTGTATGTTGAGCTGTGTTGTATTTTTAGTAGTATTTATGAGTCTAGCAAAATAAGTCAAATTATTGTAAAAAAAAGGCCGACACAACCGTGGATAACAATAGAATTGAAGCAAATGATAAATAGAAGAGATAAATTATTTAGAAAATGGAAATCTTCTCCTAAAAATTCTAATTATCGTTTAGAGTATACCAAATTTAGAAACAAAGTAAATAAGTTTATAAATGCTGCCAAAAATAAACATAAACAAAATCAGTTAAAAAAATGTAGGAATGATTCGAGAAAGATTTGGTCTTGTATTAATGGTTGGTTAGGTCGAGCAAAGAAAAGTTTAGATCAAGTAATAGTAAAATATCTGGGTGGAACAGATTCCATTGAAAACTTATCAAATAATTTTTCTAAAATATTTACAGAGGAAATAGTGGCTATTAAACTTAAACATAATTGTGATCGAACTTTCTTGGAACGAGCCCACTATGTTAATGAGTGTCCAGTATCCATGCGGTTTGTTAAGGCTAAGGCTCAAGATGTATTGAAAATAATAAATAATTTAAGTGATGAAAAATCACCTGGATGTGATGGTATTAGGGTTATGGACGTTAAACAGATCAGGTACAAGCTTAGCCCAATATTGGCAAAATTTATAAATCTTTGTGTTGAGAAGGGAGTATATCCTATGGAGCTTAAAGTTGCTAACATTAGACCATTATATAAGCAAGGTAGTCATATTGATTATGCGAATTACAGACCAATAGCAATATTGTCGGTAATCAATAAGATAGTTGAAAAGTTTATTATGAACCAAGTGACAAAGTTTTTAGAGTATCATAATGTAGTATCGGATGCACAGCATGGTTTCCGGAGAGGTCGTAGTACTGCGTCAGCTCTTGCTGGTTTCACAGATTATGTGAATGAAAGTCTAAACGAGTGGAAGCAACTGGTAGTTATTTTCATAGATTTCAAAAAAGCATTTGATACTTTAGATCACTGCCAGTTGCTTCGAGCCATGGACGAATGTGGCATTCGCGGTCCACTTGGAGATTGGTTTCGAGCGTATCTAAAGGATAGGACACTACAAACTGTAATAGAGGGCCAGAGTGGTAAAAAATTTGATATTACTTATGGAGTGCCCACTGGTTCAGTATATGGTCCGGTGGGGTATAACATGCATGTTAATTCTATGGGTAATGTAGTTAAATATTGTAAGGTTTTCATGTACGCTGATGACACTTGTTTGGTGTATGCAGATACTAATCTTAAAAATATAGAAAATAAAATACAAGAGGATTTTGACAATATTGTTAAGTGGTCTCATGACAATGGTTTAATTATAAATATTAACAAGACAAAATGTATGCACATATATTCACCTTATAGCGGGGTCTACTTAGATAAACCTAAAATTTATGGCCATTCTTATGAATGTCTTCATAAGCAAAAAATTAATTGTATTTGTGATTGTATAGATTTAGTTAATAGTTTCAAATACTTAGGATTAATAATAGATAGGCATTTCTCATGGAAGTTGCATGTGGAGAGTGTGTGTTCCAAATTAAGGTTGACTTTAGAAAAGATTTTTCATCTTAAATTTATTGTTAATAGGGCTACTTTATTTGTTGTATATTTTGCACTGGCGGAGTCTATTTTGTCATATGGTCTGAGTAGTTATGGGCGTACTTTTAAGTATTATTTGGATCAAATTAAGCAGCTACAAATAAGGTTTTTGAAAATATTAGTTGATGAAAAGGTTAAAGACAATTGTAACAAGAGATATGAAGAATTATTCTCAATTTGTAAGGTTTTGCCAGTTCAAGATAAAGTTAAATTTCTAATCGCTCTTGAGCAGTATAGAAACAATGATTTCAAAAATTATGCTGTGCATTCTTATGCTACTAGATCTGTTAGCAGTTCGAAATATGTTGTACCTAGAGCCTGTAATTACTTTGGTCAAAGAACAAGACACTACCTAGTACCATCCATCTATAATGATTTACCTGTAGATGAAAATAGTGTATCAAAGTATGTTTTTAAAAAGAAAATAAGAGATAAAATGTTAGCTGATGTTAAAGATAGATAAGATATATATTTTAAGTTATTAATATGTAAGTAAAATAAGTTTAATAAATTGTATTAGTTTTTTTCATAATAGTGGGCAGGTAGATTGTAAGTTTTTGTTATATTTGAGAGTTTGTCACCGCCAACAAACTGTTATGCAGTTTGGCGGGCTGAAATGTAACCAATTGTTTTTGTGAGAAATAAATCATTATTATTATTATTATTATTATTATTATATTTAATCAAGGAATAATAATCTTTTATAGCATATAAATATTAATTAAAATTCCTAAAAAATTTTTGTTACATTGCCAAGCACGAAAGTGTATGAAAACCAATAATTGTCTATCTTATATATCTAAAAACACTTAAAGATTATATATTTGTGAATTTGCTTAACGAGATTTTTTAATCAAACCCTCCATGGTGCTTTAATGTTACTTTCAATGAAAAATGTTACTTCTTATTTCAGTATTGTATAAACGGGCGATGTATAACGGAGCACGAGAACATAATTCCTGACTATTCACAACATACGCCAAACTACGTGCGACCAGAGACTAGCCCTTTCTATGGAAATATAACCAGGTAATGCGATTAATTACAATTAATTAATAAAATCAGTAAATGACTGTGATTAGAATAATTGTAATCGGCTAGGTTCATAGAACAATTTAAAACAATACCTACAGTAAAGTCATAAAATTACGTAATTACCCCTCAGCTTACAGGTAGTGGTTACAATAAAATGGATCTACAATTTAGTACCTAAATAGAAGTTGGTAATTACAATTTGTTATCATTTCATGATGAAATAATTATCTTTGTTTTGATTAAATTGTTGCTGTTCCATAATTAATGGGATTAGGATACTGTAACATTTCCCGAGGCTGATATTAGTATTTAAAAAAACATTCTTTTTTGTTAAGTAGGTAAGTTTTGCACTTTTAATTATATTAACAATGAGTAGTTATAAAGTAGTGCGTAACCACTTAATTAGCGTTTTTTTTGGGAAAAATGTCAAGAAACTAACCAATCACATGCCACCAACTTGATACCTGATTGGTTCGTTTCTTGATATAGACATTTTCTATGTTCGATTTATAAAATTTAAGAAAAGAACCTAAACACTCTCATGGCAGATAAAATTAGTGAAACTTGAATATTAATTACTTACTAAACTGCACAAAACTGACCTATTACAAATGAGACAACCACACGCTCTCATTTTAGTCAGAATGTGTACAGTCCAGCACGAAGGACATTAGATAAATTAATATTTTACATTAACACACAGTTACGAAGTCACAACACAGCCGTACGTACCTAAAGCGCCGCCTGTACAGTACAATTACAATGGATATAAAAATTACAAAGAGCCATCATCGTCGTCAACTACAGAGGATTATTACAAATATTACTACCAAACTTCCAGTACTACCAAGAAATATAACTACTACACTCCTAGTACAACTACTAGTAAGAAATATGGGTACATCACAGAGAAAACTAGCACAACTCCAAATTATTCTTATTCGTACCCTCCTTCAATAAACAGATATTCTATAAGTACAACCAAAAACCCATATGACTTCAAAGACTTTACAACAAGAACAACAAAAACGACTGAGAAGAACGAGCGAAAACAGGGATTTTACAACAAACAAGAATTTGCTAATTACTTCAGTACTACAAAGAGCAGCAGCACCACAAAAAGTCCTTATCAGGATAAAGGAATTAAATCATTATTTAAAATTGGTACTTATTATTCACAAAATAAAGCAAATGATAATTCTATAAGACCAGACGCATCACAGCAAGTGTCCATAGAACCAGCAAGATTGGTCTATTCGTACCAAAGGAATCTTACCACTGGACAGATCATACAAAAATAGTGCCAAAATTATTGGTAAGCAAAGCATTGACTACGTCATCTGTCAACCTGTGACGTCATTCATCTTCTGGATTGGATCATCACGTTAACATAAATACCCTTCTTTTTTTCTCTTTCTATTCAGGTCATCATCATTTCTTATTTTTTGGGAGTGAGCAGTGGTTCTGTGATTTCATAAATTTAAACCTTTTCAAATATATTATCATATGTACAAACAAAATGCATGCATAGGCAAGGTAAACGTAGTAAATGTCAATAATGCCATTAATAAATTGCTTAGGCTTAACTCACACTGGCGCATAGTCGAAGCGTCGCGTCGCGTCTTGTTTTTCAACTGCAACGCCTGGCGACATGCGTCGACGCGCGACTCCATACTTGCATAACACAAATTTGTACCTTAAAAAATATTTTTTTTTAATATTTTCAGTTGATTTATTTTTTTATTCTACATCGTGGGCATTTACTGCGTGTACCCGCCATGTATGCTTTTTCTAAATATATTTCCTACAACACAAAACTCGTCGAAACAACAGAACAACACTGGAATTGTATAACACATTTTTTGTACCATCAACTAGCGCTATACACTACTAAACAACCAGGTCTTGTCAAACCTAGTTTATCGTACACCGGCTTCAACACAGTCACAACTCATAAAATGACAAAAGTGGCAAGTTAATATATCTCGGTTATATTTTCGTTTAAATTCTCTTCTGAATGAACGTAACGTCAAACTGAGTATAATGTTGCTATATTTTTTAATTTTTTTTTCCCTAAAATTGGGGAAGTTGCTGTATATGCTTATAACAGAACTCATAAAATGAGGATTTTTGACTTGTGACACTATTGTAGCATATTCGCTATATGTATATGTGCTTTATGTGTTACACAATTAGGGTAAAAGCGGGGTAGATGGTCATAGTTTTTTGTAAACGCTGTCAAAATAAAATTTTAGATATTACATTGCAAATCTTTATTTCTTATTAAACTTTGAACAATTAACTATTAATTATTTAACAGAAAAAAGAATAAATTGTCTTGAGACCAACCCTAAAATTTGTTTAAAAAAAATGCGATTGGTCATCTCTTCCGAGGTGTCCGGGTGTTATGACCATAGGACTATGGGTAAGATGGCCAGTAATTATTTCTAGACCTAGATAGGTCTTTTACTTGGTGTTTTGTTTTTTTAAGTCTTCTTTTTTCTTCATGTCGTCAAATTCTCAGTTTTCTTGAACCCAAAAGTGAGACACGACGCTTTGGAGCCAGTCTTCGATGAGGCAGCTTTAATAGCTGTGAGTTTTCTACCTAAGAGGTTTTCGCGATTGTTACACTTATATGAAATGAAACTATTTTTCCGGATTTACATCGCGTATATTTGTTTTTCAAACAAACCAAAGTTTCGTGCCCTTTACAAGTATTGGGACATTTCCTAAGCATTTATAGCTGCTTGTAATGATTCTTCAGTGCAATTCCCTCTCATTGCGGCTACCTTTATTTTGTATTTAGTATTCATCTAAAATAAGTTCGAAAATAAATAAATAATTTTATTAATATTTTAGACCTTTGTGTGTTCGGTATAAGTTGGTGACATGGCCATCTTACATCGATTTTGATAGGCCATCTGTCCCAATGTTCCGGGAGAGGTGGCCATACATAAAATTTCAAGAAACAAGAAAAACCATGATACGTAAAATTTTGAGCTTATAACAAAGCATTGGGTGTGGACTAAGGGATAAATACAAAAATAATCAATATTTTGAAAAAATAACTTCATTGTAGTGAAAACATGAACCCTCTAAAAAATTTAAGCATTAGTCAAAACAATTAACAAGGTTCTTACTTACTTTTTCTTTTTTTACTCAGCATATTCGCCGTACACTTGCACTTAGACACGATACGATGCTAACTGAGCAATAACTATCGCCATCTCGTAAGCGGATCATTGAAATATTGCGATTGGCCATTTGCCCGCTATGGCCATCTAACCCGGTTTTACCCTATATTCTTTACTTATCATGGTACTTTATTATTAATTATTTTGTAGACACAATTTATAATAGCACTTTAGACATCCAGTTTGACACTTTGGACATTGGATTATTCTTATCACAAGTGACTTAGGTACGTTCACTAGCACTAAATTTAATTATGTCCGACCGCCGAAACCGATGCTTGATTTAAGACATATTTATGTTTAGTGCAAGTGGACAATAAAGTTTTTAAATCTGAATTGTCCAACTTGCCGAGCTCTGAACTCTGTGCAACTGAATTCCCGATATCAAGTAGCCCAGATATTATACTTAAGTAATAAAGTACCCTTAGTATAATAAACCACAAGTGATCATTCGTCACAAGTGCTTTTATCACATGAAAGCATAAAAATAATACGAAGAACATAAGTATAAAAAAGTTATAGACTAATATTGTTCGTAGAAGTCGCTTCTGAGGGCCTACCACAAACTCTTAAAACAATATGACGGTCGAAAAACGACGGTCCGAAATGTCACAGGGATCATTTTATCTCTGGTGTACACGCAACATTTCCTCGCCTTACTTTCTCTAACACGTACCTTAAAGCACAAACTTACTGAAACGTAAAAAATGGATCGTATAAACAAATTTTGCAGGCTGATTTCACATCAAGTTTCCTTCATATTTACTCACTGGCTTTTACCTATTCTTAAAGTAATGCATCCAAATTAACATCCCCGATGAGAAATTTAAAATAAATAGAAAGTTTTGTATTTTGTTTGCAAGTTGACTTTGACATTACAGTAATATTGTTCATATGTCGAAAGCAATCTTGAAAGTTATTCGTACGCAGTGGAAACAATTATTTCCGAATTTATTTTCTTAATACAGATTGGTGACGAAATAAGATTTCTAAAGGCTATGGTAGGCCCCCTGAAAAGTTGTAACTTTGCAGATGTGGCCTTATTACACTACGGGTGCTGTAATGATATTTACACATTTGAAAATTGTAAAATACGTATATTAAACATGTATGTACAATGTACAGAAACATACCATCTCCAGCAGGCCAACACGGTGCATGGCGAAATACAGTCACTATGACATTGTCTTATTCATATTCATATGAATATCAATTTTCCTATTATTAGTTGTTTTCTTACTTAATTATTTCTTATTATTTGTCTTATTGTTCAGTGTTGCCATTTAAACCACTATTTCTTCTTATTACCTACGATCTGACAAACTTTAGACCTTGTTTGTGTCAAGGGAAAGAAATCATCAATTTTCAATTCATCTTTTTCATTTTTCAATTTAAGTTACATTCATCTTAATAAATATCATAAAGGTAATAGTACAACAAATGAGACCATATCATATTCAAGAATAGTGGCCTAATTCAAAATTGTTCCTTACTTGCTTAGTCCTAACATTTGTTCAGAAAATGCTAAATATTTTTATTGTGAACGGGACATCGAACTTTTCATTGGTTAATAATAATCACTTGACAACGTTGGGGTGGTCTAGGATATGCCAATTTCGCGCGACTGACACGTTGTAGTATTTTTAAAACATTTTTTTGAAGAATTAGATGCTTTGTAGATAGGCCACTATTCTAGAAAGCCATCGATGGATTCGATGCTTAACGAGTACAAAAAGGGTAAAGGCCAAGCTACAAAGTTTATAAAAATGTATATAAACGTTCAGGTTTATATCTTATAAGTATATTTTTATAATAAATCACTTTATTTTTATCTAGGTCTGTTATACGAAACAGCGAAATTATAGAGCATGAAAAATAATGAGTAGATATGTATCAAATTGAATTGCAATACCTCAATAATCGCAGGTATTATGCTCATTTTAGTGCTTCAATACAAGCGATCATTCTCGGACTAGTGTTCACTACCTAATTTCCGTGTCATTTTTTTTATTATTTAAATATCAAAAGTATATTAGCGTGTTAAATACTATTTCACGATACAATATTCGAATATTAAATAATATTGCACGATAAAAAAATCGGATACTTCAATAATAAAAATTGCCACGGAAATTAGGTAGTGAATACTAGTCCGAGAATGACCGAAAACCGTTCCCCTGTAAAGTTGGGAATTTGGTGTACATAAAATTGGCTTTTACGCCCGAATTTCATCCCCGAAGTATCGACAATTCTATTTTTGGCTGTGTACATAAAAATCGTTATTTAAACACAACACAAATATGTAATAAATAAAAAAAATAACGTGACACCTTTTTATTCCCACAGCCGCCACTAATGAAGAGCGGAGTTCGACCAATGAAGACTGCCACCGCTGGATAAACCTACCCTTAAATTAGGTCTAAAACAGGTCTCCGATCTGTAGGTTTTATCAACAAGGTCTGTAGGTCTTGTCCACATAGGTCATCTATACATATAGGCATAGTTCGTGAATCTCCTAGGTCTTGAAAAAAAAAAATTATAGATCTAGGCTAGATTATTTGTGACAGTAGCACATAACCTTATGTGCTACTGTCACAAATAATACGAATTAAAACTGAAAATGATTACGAAAATATGTAATCTCGGAAATGTAGTACCTATGAATGGCCACAGACATAGAAACTACCAAATTTTCCTATTGAAAATTAACATTTGTCCTTCCAATACATAAACATTTTTTTATGTAACAAGGCCGATTCAATTTGTATTTTATTAATAATAAATATGTGATTCTCAAATTTTTAATACTTTTTCGTAAAGTACATGGGTTTTGTCTATATCTCTTGAGACCTGACTAAGTCTAGATTCCTATTGGCCCTAGGGTAGTCTATTCCAGCCCCTATTACATTACAGATTGTGAAACGCGCTTAGCCCGGTAGCAAATATAATTTACATTGTGATTACGATTAATTGTAGTATTTTTTGTAATTGATTAATTACAAGTGATGATATTATTATAGTTGAGATTTTATGTTACGCCAGATTAATCAGTAAGATCTTTTTTCATGTTTTAGACCGCAATAACTTCATAAGGAGGATATTAATTGTAATCAATTACAATAATAATTGTAATCAATCATATTAAGCAATCAACTGTAATATATATTATAGCATTCGTAAGGCATAATTAAATATTACACTGCCTCAACTACACTTATTTCAAAGCAGTATTTTTAAATAAGAACAAGCAGAAAATAATTTTGCTTGGTTTTATTTATCTACTTACGTAATTGTAATATTTTTAAACTGATTGACATAATCTTGTTTGAATGGTATAAAACCTATTGCAATCCAATATTCAAAATAAATCAATATTATTATGCTAATCAAATTAAGAATAAATTTCATATTATTTTGCAATGAAATTAACATTATTGTGTAGTAAATAAAGGAGACATTTATATAAAAATATTTTATCGAGTTATTGCAAATTTTCTTGTAATAAATTTCAAGATGCTAATTCAGAAACTCATGTAAAAATATTGAAATCGTTTTAGAACATGTGTAATGGAGCTTGAATGAGTTGGTCTTTTTTTTAAGTTCTATGTAGACTGTAGAACTACAGAACAGATCTGAATTTTCTTATTAACCTATACAGCGGGCAAAACGGGACAGCGCGACGAGTGAGTGGAACAAAATTGTGACTGAAGACTACAAAGAATAAAAAGCGTGTCAGGCACAGTTAGTGAGTGATACAATAAATGTGATTGTGTAATATTAAATGAACTATAAGTACATTTAGGTTAATATTATTTTATTAATATATAATTTTGTACATCTGAAATAGGAGTTCTGCCTCCTTGGTTTTGGACTATGAATACTCCTTAGCCCTTTTTTTTAATTGTACGATTGTAACATAGCGTCATTTTAAGTACATGAAAGATACTGCCACAAAGTGCCTTTTATACAATAATTCGTAGTGTATAAAAAAAGAATAAAAATAGGTTTTATATACATTTTTTTTTAAATTTGACCACAGCAACTGGTTTGCGTTCTGAACAATTTTAAATTTTTTTATTTTAATTTACTTAACGATTTTTCACACTCAAAATTTGTTCTAGAACCATGTTATGAAAAAATGTTATATCTTAATTTAAGTCTGTTATTTCGACTTTATTTATGTGAAAATAGTAATTAAATAAAAGTTACCAATAATATAAATTCTTACACGTAGATCGGCGGATGTCGTAGCCATCACAATTGTAAACTAAAACATCACTTGCCTATAATATTTATTATTATCTTGTTTTTCTTTTTTAATTATGTATGAGCAATATGTTTCTTTCACACAAATTGTCTAAATTTTAAGAAAAAAAATAGAAAATAACAAATACGATATTTTGTGTTTTATTATACCCTTTTTTAACATGAATGAGGTGGGGAGTGTCTTAGCCAAAAGAAAATTTTCAATGGAAATTCTCGCGCTCCAAGTGTCCCAAGAGTTCATATATGATTAGCTTGCTGCATCAACAAATCCCCGGGGCGCGGGGGGAACGCCAAATGACAGTGTGGGTCGACAACGACCCAGCTTTTAGGTAAGGTATGAGGTCATTTTCTCGATGGAGCGTTTCTCGGGAGCGGATCGTGCGTTATATGTGTTGGTTAATTTTCAGGTTAGTTGTCTCTGCCTAATTTAGATGGCTATTTCTATTATTTAAGTATTCGAGTATATTATCGTGAAATACTAGATATCCGGATACCACACTCGAAAATTAAGCAATACTGCATGATATAGTATTCTAGAATATTTAAATAATAAAAATTGCCACCGAAATTAGGTAGAGAAAACTAACCTGAAAATTACCCCGTGCGTGACCATAGCGCGGAAAAAATTGCAATCATCGTGGTTTGCATAATTTAAATAATGTGTCGAGTGTTAATCTTATCTTGACATGGGTTACAAAATTTGAAGAGACCGGTTTTATATTGGATAAATCAAAATCAGGGCGACCAGTCGTCAAGGACGAGTGAGAATGTGGAAGATACCTCCTTATACAAGGGTAATTTTCAGGTCCGTTTTCTCTACCTAATTTCAGTGGCAATTTTAATTATTTAAGTATACGAGTATATTATCGTGAAACATTAAATAATATTTCAGGTTACAACCTACACTCGAATATTAAATAACACTTCATGATCGTATTTTAGAATATTTAAATAATAAAAATTGTCACCGAAATTAGGCAGAGAAAATTACCCATAAAAAACAGTTCGTAATGTAAATTAAAAAACTGCAATTAAAATGAAAGTAAGAGAAAAACATTTTGGAATGTGTAAATAAAACCTCTCATACGATATCTACCATTTCACCTAGTAACTTCATTTTCAGATTACGATCTCCTGGCTCGACAGCAACGGTAGTCTAAGGGTCGTATTCCAGAACTCTACTCAATACTCAAGTCAGGACTTGAGTATTGCAGTGAGCACTGAAAATCATACTCAAGTCCTTGCCATTAGGGCCGTATTTCCAGTGCTTGAAATCATACTCAAGTCTGCTCAAGTTCCGATTTGAGCATTAAGTAGAGTTCTGGAATACGACCCTAGGAATCATAAAAAAAAAAATTTAATCCCAACACCGTTTATTTGTCATAATTTACACCGTACCACCTTCACTTGCACCTACAAACAATGTTGACTTTCATTATAAATTAATAATTAAAATCTACTTCTACAGAGTGTAACAAAAAGGTGTAGTTTTAGTTTAGGATTACATTCATTCAACAATCCAAGCAGAAAAAAATCGTAGAAAAAACAAAATGTAAGGAAAATAAACGGTTTAATCGACATAAGGCCTATTCACAAAATGACCTACAGTTGTAAAAGTACCTGTTCGTGGTAGGCCTCATGACTTTCGTATTTCTGTCTATAATTTTTTATATTACACTATTTATCAAGTCCGACAATAGGTATAAACTATCGTAATTATTCACCAAGCAATAATCACTAGTAGTTTTTTTGTTTATCACGAAATGACTTTTTATTTTTCTACTGAAGTTATACAGGGTGGAAGGGACAGTTGTCGAAAACGAAAAAGGTGGATTTAGACCATGATTCTTATTTGAAAATCATTGGAATTTTCTCTCGGAAAATTCAAAAAATTTTCCGAGTTCTTTTTCTATTAATCATTTTTTTCTTATGTAAACATGCAGATACGAGTACCAATCCATTTTTTAAGTTAAACATAAACCTGGCAATGTAAAACGTAATATTGCCGCTTTTCTTGATATAAACATTACGGCGGCATTGGCGCGAAATGTCAAAGCTTTGCTTGCCGCCCTGCGAGCCGACAAACCGTTCGTTCGCGTCTAGGGTCATCTACCAAATTACATTGATCGAACTTGATAGATAAGCAAATTGATATCTAAAATGTGTAAACTCTTCATTAACTATTTATCTCTTTAATCCTAAAATTTGAATAAGAATAAATGTTTATTAAATTTAGTGGTCTTCTAACGATCATATCAATCGACAAAAATCGGTTAAGTAAGTATGGTTTTGTGCATGACGTGATGCTTCGAAATGTTACAATTTTAATAAATTCAATTTTAACAGCTCGAGGAATTATTTGTAGAAATGAATAAATAAATAGCTATTCATTGATATCGAATAGTTTTGTATTTTTATTAATTAATAATGTTGTAGACGACGATATCCACATAAAAGCGAGGCGTGTATCTTCTTCTTGCTTGCTAGTTCGTCCACGTGTTTCGGCGAGTTCGGGTGTGTTATGTCACTAGCGAAAACCGATCGATAACGAGTGATTGTGGGGTGCGTTTGTGTGTTGCGTGCTGTGTAGTGTTTTTATTCATTATGGATCGTCGCCGTAATGTATCGTTTAAGGCGCGTGAATACGGGCAAATGCTCTGTGTCTCGGTGAAGCTCGAGGGAGCGCATCACTGGCCCTCAGATTTTATGTGGTAATTTTGGACTTGGAAACCCGTACTGCTGCAAAGCACTAACGACGACACAATGGCTCACAAGTTTCACATTGGATTGTGCTCAAAGCGTTACATAAAGACCAGCAATGCCCGTACCGAATCTACACAGTGCGAGCTCTGGTGCCTGGAAAAGCACTACGCCGAGTAGCGTAGGTACTGCAGATAGCTAGTGCTGATGCTCTGTCTACACGCAGAAACTTTCCGACTCTGCGAGCAATTGTGTGGCGGCCATTTTGAGCCGTATCTTATACTGTTCGCAAGTGAGACTGTTTGAGGCAAGATTTGAGAATCTCATTATGTATCTAATAAAACCGTTATTCGTTATGCGATTCGAGTGTTTCTATCACAGTGTAATAGCTCGGATAGTTGTTGTAATCCCAACCAACAGCGTAGAAGCACGAGCAGTCCATGAATGGCGGGGCCCTCACCGCCGCCGCCCCGCCGCCTGCACCGCTATACGGCCGCGTGCCCGTGTAATGCGCAGCGGTACGATCGCGCTATTAGTAACACATTGCGTAGCGAAACATAAAATATTCAGCTTGTGATTTTCAAATATGGATGATGGTCTAAATCTACTGTTTTCGGCAACCTGTCACTGCCACCCTGTATTATACCTTTAGCTATACAATTCGATTGCGTAATTAAAATATTCTCTCAGAGGGTGTTGGTTTCAAATTCAAGAAACTTTCATAGGGTGAAAATAAATATCTACATCTATGACACTGTATACAAGTCAATAAATAGATAGGAAAATGCTTCTGAACACAGGTACCGTCGAAATATACAAGAAAATGATGTCATTCTACACAAAACTATACAATTGCTCTGGTGTCTGTCTTTTTATTTGCCAACTGTCCTAAGGCCGTGATTTATAAAACGAAATTTTTAGGCAATAAATGAAACTTTGAGTTTACTCTTTACTTCTAATATATTGCTTAAACTTTTCAACGCGAGAGTGAATAGGCATTATTTAGGTGCGCGTGCCACATTGTCGACCTTATCGTCACTTTGAGGTCAATTGCGCACGTTTTATTTTTATTCAAAAAGACAAAAGATCGCTTTGTATATACGAAAAATTTGCTAAGTTCACCATTTTTGCTTGGTCAAATTTCGTTTTACAAATCTCAGCCTCACACTCAAAAAAACGTATGGGCTGACTGACGTAAGTTTGAACCCCGAAACATATTTTATATAAATACAGACAGACATCAGAGTGTAAATAAGAATAATTAACATAACAATTAACCCGTCTTGATGGGACTGTTGTTTGCGACGTTCTTGACCAATAGTTTAACAGCCATGCCCACGGAGAGACAGAAAACGAGACCAGCTGGCATGAACTTGCGACTGTTGTAAAATCTTTAATTAAACGAGAATAATTTTCATAAGTAAAATTTGTCAACTTAAAGAGATAAGGTCATAATTATTCAAATACACACATCAAAAATGTCTAGGGATCAAACACGTTTTTGCCAATTACGGAAAATCAGGTTCTTTTAATGAATTTTTTAATATCGATGGATTTTTTCTTTTTTCGTTTCGTTTTCAAATTCAAATTATATATATATATATAATTATTGACTAAAAAATATCATCAAATTTGTTTTTCAGTAGTTAGCAAAAACGTGCTTGACCCTTAGACACTTTTGACCCTTTCATCCTGTACATGATGTGTGTATATTATGTTAACTTACTTTACTGTTCAATTTTTATTATTAACATAATTTGCGTTTTATTTTTATTATATGAGTTGTGTAATATAATGGGATTTATGCCTAAATAAATAACTGAATTATTAACTATTATTATTATTACGGATTGATGCCGAATAACAACCCAAAACCCTGTATTTAATTTTTTTTTTAATTTACCTGTATCCCATAAGACCTCCGAGTGTCGTGGTGGTTCCTAACATGAGAGCGTAGTTAGAGGGATCTCGACTAAGCTGATATGCGCCTATACCTGAAATCAAAAGATTATGTTAAAGTAACACTTGTTGTGTTAATGATTTAGTTAGGTGGATTAAGAGGATCACCAGGGGAAGAGGGATTAACTTAACTCATGATTTAAAGAGTTTAACATTATAGTCTCTCAGTCGATAAAACAGAGAAACAAATTAGTTTAAACGATTTTAAAGAGATGTCGCCACGATGCTCCAAATCCAAACGGCGGAAAAAACAGTTTGACAGTTGTGAAATCTTGAGAACACGAGGTGTAATATTACCTTTATAAGAAATACAATGACCTATTGTTCCTCTTGCCAAGTGATGTTCAGGTTAGTTTCTCTACTTAATTCGGTGGCAATTTTCATTATTTAGATATTCGAGTAGATTATCGTGAAGTATTAAATAAAATTTCAGGATACTACAGTCGAATATTAAATAATACTTTATGATAATATTGTACAATAAGCGAAGCTGCAGAGTCTTGAACACCGCCGTAAAGTTGTCTGCTTATCGGTATTTTACAGGATAAAATCACGGAGAGTGTGCGACGGAATTACACGATTTAATTCCGCCTTTCCATCATTGGGGGACTAGGCGTAGCTTGGCTTCCACCCCTATGTTGTGGATATTCCAAAGATTCGCACCAAGCGTTACGCTTCCACGTTTATATGGCGAACAGCTATGGAGTGGAATTCCCTGCCTGCAGACTTGTTCCCGTAACGTTATAACTTGAACCTTTTCAAGGCGAGAGTGAATAGGCATTATTTAATTGTGCATGCTCCATCGTCGACCTCATTGTCACTCTCCATAAGGTGAGATGAAGGTCAAATGCACACATACATTTGAATTAAAAAAAATTTAAAAAATTTGGGCGAGTATTACTTTTGACAGCAATTGTTTCGGACGGATGTCGGACGGAGAAGTTACGATAACTCAGTTGTCTACCGGTTGGTTTTGATATCATACGATTTCTTTTCATTTTTATTCACAGTAACCGAATCGAACGTCAAACTGTCGTAATCGAAACCGAACCGAAATGACGTCACACCCGTACGATTACTCGAACATCTCGACCGGCAAAGGCTACAAACATTATTCAGAACACAGTTACCGAACGTCCTATTGTTTACAAAGCAAATCTCTTATTATTTTAAAAAGTCTGGATTTTGTTAATTTTTATTAATTTATTTTAATGCAAGACTAATGCATTCTTATCTAACAGCGTTTACGAAGTTATTCGGCGAAATAAATTATAAGAAAAATGAAAATCCCTTTATATACATTTTCAAGACTTTAAAGGCCTAAAATATAGTAATGCGTTAGTTTTGCATTAAAACAAATTAATAAAATTGAACAAAATCCACACTTTTTTAAATAAGAAGAGATTTCCACATTACATTATTTTACTTTGTAAACATAGGACGTTCGGTAACGTGTTGTTCTGAATAACGTTTGTAGCCTTTCCCGATCGATACGTTTGAGTAATCGTACGGGTGGGACGTCATTTCGGTTCGGTTTCGAAGACGAGAGTTTGACGTTCGATTCGGTTATTGTGAATAAAAATGAAAAGAAATCGTCCAATATCAAATCGAATCGGCCGACAACTGAGTTATCGTAAGGTTCTGAATCGACCTGCAGGACGCGGTAACGCGAGTTTGGTGTTTGCTATATTCGTCAAACAGACAAACAAGGCAAATATTTTGTCACACATGCTATCTACATGATGATTGATTTTACCAATCAAATATCAAATACACAAATAGCCATGTGTAGTGCCACCATCATATTGATTTTGGTGACTTCGCTAAGAACATGTTAATGCAGGTTGCTGTACAAGCCGTACTAATATCTCAAAATGTTTAATTAGCACTTACATTATTATATTAAACTTACCAAGAATGGAACCGAAGATGAGACCAGCGCCTAACGAAGGAACGGAACCTGGAAACACGTAATTCTCAAATTAACACTGATTTATTTAACATGTTTATGAAATTATACAATATTGCCCGTCACTATATAAAAAATATAAAAAACCGAAGACAGACACTCGACTGCCTCGTGGCCGGACGGTTACCATGCTGGTCTGCCACGCAGAGGTCCCGAGTTGGATTCCTGGGCCGGGAGAAATATTTGTATGACCTACATTTATTTCTCTCGGGAGTTTGTGTATAATTTGTGGTTGTCAATGTGTGTGTCCATAGGCAACCACGATACAGGATTTCCCTAGTGCGTGAAATGAGAGTGTGCGAAAAAAAAGCATTGAAGTCTATGATAGATTATGACATAATACATTGACAACCAACATAGTATGAAAAAAAATTATAACTTAAGCATTAGCATATTAATGTATGTTATTATTCTTATAATTATAAAAATACGTTAACTTAGTGGATTAAAGTTGTCTCATGTTGTATTTTTATTAAACCATATTATCTTTTGAAAGGGGGACGCGCGGAGTCAAGGTCAAATGTCATATGGAATCACTATCGACCTAGTAACAAATCCTAAAAGTTTTGGCTCTACAGCTCTTAACAGTTATGAGATATTTCAATAACATTTGACAGTTTGCAGAAAGAAAAATAGCACTTCATCATTTTTTGAATCCCTATGTTAAGGGAAGGCCTCAGGCGATTAATACACTGCACCGCGCCCTGAAACGGAGCGCGGAGCTGCGTTTTTTAACGTTATACTGTATACCTAGGGCATTGAGCCCGAGTTTACCCGGCCCGGGAAAACTCGGGTTTTCCCGGTTCTGATGGTTACAAAGAAACCCAGGTTTGATTTTAAAATCCCGGGTATTTCGAGTATTTTACTTAATTTTTTTTGTTATTTATTATCATTGACTTACAAATAAATGGACGACGGGTCTAATACAAAAACCACGAAAAAAATGTCCCAAGTCAACCTATTCGAAATTTAAATTGTAATGTCATCGCAGTATCGCGCTGTCAGTCGAACAAATGAAGACTAAAGCGGAGTTTGGCGCTCTGTATACGATTTTAGCGCCTTACAAGTGCGGACACTTTTTAGCGCGGACCCGACGTCCATATAATTGTAAGTCAATGTTTATTATGTATAAACCACTTCGAATACAACAATAAATGTAATAAAAACACGCTTAGATAAATAATTACGTGTAAAGAAGCGTAGTTGCCACGTTTCTTACCTACCAAACAACCAAGAAAACAAGCAATGTGTAAAATGGAACGCGCTCTCTCAAGCAATTTTGTTTTGTCGCTCCGCCCCCGCGCGATTCGTGATACTAAAAATATGTTTTTTGATGATATTATTAGCTTTTAAAAGCAATAACTGATTGATACCAAAATGATTTAATTAATGTTAAAACTGATCTCTGGGCTTTACTAGATTAGTACTAAGATATTCTGAGGAAAAAGATTTCTTTAAGACTTTATTATGTCTTGTAATTTGAAAAGTCCTGTTTCATTTATGATAATCCTTCCTCCCGTCATCCTTTGTTTCATTGTATAAAATCAATATAGGAACAGTTTCTTTTTTTATATAACAAAAAGAAGGAAAAGCTCGAAAAAACCGGGTCTACCTGGGTTTTGACTATACTATGACCCGAAAACCCGGGTTTTCAAAATTGGTCCGGGTTTCGATGCCCACCTCAGTTTGTATGGAAAACACGCGCCGTCCAACACACTGACAACTGTTCTCCGCGCGCGCGGCGAACCGCAGGGTATGGCGCACTGCACTCCGCACTACCGCGCAGATTTTAAAGCTTAAGGACATGTTCAGTTTTCTACAATAAATCTCGACGTCGATAAATTTATATTTGCTATTGAAAATCGACCAAATTTATCTACATATTTTCTTAAATCTTTGTAATACAGCTGAAATTATCCATTTATCGATGTGATTCCTAAAAAGGGATGTATCCAATATCTTCGGTGACTTTTTATTTGAGTAAACAAAAACCAAATAGTATAACTGCAGCGTCCTGAATGAGTTCTGTATTATTAACCGTTCTTGTCAAAGAAGGATCTCGGCTACATATACAATCACTATGGCGATCAACTACGAAGCGAGTACTTTAAGTGCTGCGGGTCCGCTAGATCGCTGCGTCAGCGCCGATTAATCCGCGTGTTGACGTAGATCTGCGTCTATTCCACCGCGCGCGTGAATCTGCGTCCCGCACACCGTCGCATGGTGCGGTGCAGTGTTAATCGCCTTAATTCCGACCACTGTCAGCATGGTTTATTTTTCGAGTGTTAAAAAAACACTAAAACATTTTGTACTTGCAGTAATATAACATAAAAAAATAATAGAATAGATTATTTTTTTACGTTTTAAATCTTTATTTCACATTGTTAGATACATATTTAATAATGAATAAATACATACGTCAATAATTACATTTGTTCAATGTCCAAGTTTGTAACAATGGTGTTATTGCAGATGGTTTGTAAATAATCTTCACTTGACATTGCTTGTGTCATGTATTGTATTTAAATAAATAATTCCTGATAATTCTACAGGCTTGGCTAAGCGGCAATCAAGGCAGTGTTGCGAATGCAACATATAAATAAAATTAATGTAATCGAAGCAGCAACAAAACACTCGTCAAGGACACTTTAGGTAGGCAGGGGGTTCTATTTGCTTTTTTTTTGTACATTCTAACAAAGTTCAAAAAGACCGTTCACTTTTGGTTCGTTCTTCCATAAGGAACCATCACTGATTAACGTTTAATGGCACTACTCCTGTAAACAAACTAACTAAGTATATCTAATAGTGTATATACACTATAAATCGTCTTTATATGAGCTCTTCTTCGTTTTGGACTATCGTGACATAGTAGCGCATCGTCAATGTTTGCTCAAGCGGGAGTAGACGACTTTTTTGCTGTGATGCGAAAAAATACGGCGTCACTACTCTCTAGACTGCGCTCTAGTCCTAACAGCATCCTGAAAACGTTTGAAGCTAATCTCGATGCGCCGATGCTTCGTCATTTCGTCTGGGTTCTGGTGAGGTGATGGGCTAATCGGCGGCGCCTCGAGCGGAATAATGTGTGTTTTTATTTTTTGTCTCTGTATTTACTAACAATAGACATAAGTTTGTCGGCGCATTCGCAAAATAGGAGGCTAGTGGCGTCACATCTAATCGATCGATGAATCTTAATTAATTATAGCTATCCTTTATTGTTTCATTCAGTTAGTGATTCTAAAATTAAGAATAATAAGAGACGTAATGAAGATAACCCGTATTTTATGGAGATATCATCTACTCGGTCAATAATACACGCCTAGCGATAAAAACAAGTGGAAAACCACTCTGATAGCAGCACGAGTGCCTTCAAGTTTAAAAATGTCTGTATTTACTAACAAGTGGACCTTGGATGCCAAATAAATATTATTATTTATATGTATTAGACATATTACACTTTTCCTTTCTTTCTAAAATATAGATATGATATGTTGGGTACATATCTACAATGTAATGATAATCACCACATCGCTACGTCTCTGTCTGTTCGCGATAAACTCAAAAACTACTGAACGGCTGCAAGTACTGACTACATGGCCTGGGACCTAGGGCGGCCAAGACTGCAAATCCGCCACTGGCTATAGGGCGTCAGACGAAAACCAAAATTTAGCAGGTTTTCCGTAGTACTTAAAGAGAAATATCTCTATATAAAAATTATGCACAAAATTTTATTCCTAAATTATTCGTTTTAGAGTTTCATTTTAGCCTGTTTTCAGTATTTTGTATGATCGAATAAATAACATCCTATCATGTAACGAATTAGCACGTTCTGTAGACAATACCCTTTGGTGCATCATAATTTTTTTGCAAGATCGTCGTTATCTAATGGTAAATATGCGTAAACTCTTGATGTAGCAAAATAGTTTTTATGGCTTTTCATCTGGTGACTCGTCGTAACGAGTTCCTCGGGATTTTTTACACCGTCTTATTAGGTCTGGTGGACTATGGATTCTGTCGGTGTGGTATTTTTTTTTGTTTTTTTTTTTTTTGTTTTAAGGTATCTGTAAAATGTCACGTGCATTGACTGATCGAGTGATTGCGCAGCAATTGAGAGACGAAGAAGCTATTGATAGTGCTTCTGAAGATGAACAACATCATGAGGTCATTGTAAGTGACCATAACGCATGACGCATTAGGCGAAAACGGCGCCATTCGTACACTAGCATGACCGCTACACATACGACATAAGATCCTTGAAAATGAGGGTATTGAATCAGCATCTGGAGCCTTCTCGTCTGAGGCCTACATATAAAACGATGCTATATATGCTCGAGAATCAAGGACCGAAAAACCAAAACGGCCTTAATGCCAAAATATGTGTGCAATAGTCTGCCAAAATTATGATGAAGGAAATTCACAAATAGTATTTATTGTTTTCTTATTTATAAAATATTTTATATGTCAGAAATACATTGTTCTAATTTGTCATTAATAAATATTTTATTTCACGATTCTAATATGGGATGTTGCACACCCTACATGACCAATTGTGTAACTTTTTTGACGAGACTAATTAAGGGTTAATACTGGCAGGATACCTTTTGTTGAATATTGTTGCTATACCTATTGTTGCTGCCCCGATGGGCGTAAGAAGTTCTCTACTGGGAAGGCACAGGCCCCAAACAACAGACATAAAAGCTGTCAGAGCTAGAAAAGTCCTTCAGTTCTTTAATTCTGTGTGCCTTGGCTCTGAACTGTAATTAATGATGATCATAAAAGATCAGTTGATAATAAGAGCCACCTAAAAATAATAATACCATCACTTTCTAATTTATTATAAAAACAAATAATAAGCTTTCTTGGGCATATTATAATGTGTTCACATTTTTCATATAATTAATGTAACCTCAACTAGAATAACAAAAGTCCATACCGCATTACTTTCACCCTTCGCAAATGCGAGGAGCTCCTGTTAGATTAGAGTGAACCTGCAAATTTCCATTTTAGCAAGAAATTTATATAATTTTAATGGAAATTGAAAATAATTAAATTCCAAAATAATATGATAAACAACACCAAAACGAATTATTTAAGCATATTTTCAGTTACGTTATTTACAGTAAAATGTTTTTTCATGCAATGTTTCGACCTCTTCTGTTTCGGTCCCATGGTTCCAGCCAGCTGTTACCATGGGATCTATAAAGAGCATGAAACATTGGTTGTTCAATCCCAAATAAAGAATTTCATTTCCAATGGGTAGCAATTGCAAAAACTGAAGGACTCAACATGGAAAGCCAGATACTCACTAGCGAGCGACATTTTCAAAAATTATAGTTTGTCTGTGGTTTGCAAGCTTGCCATAAGTGGAATGCTTGTGGTTCACAGTGAGCTGACAATAACCAGGTACTCATCCTAGCGAGTAAAGACTGCTTCACGCACACACACTAGAACCTCGTAACTGTATTTGTCATGTTAGTCACAGCTTGCTAGCGAGTGGGCACTCAGCTTAGTACTGCACTGCGCCTGATGGAAAGTGCGAATACAGTCCAGAGATGAGAGTATAGAGTATAGAGTATTGGAGTAGAGTCGAGGTGTCAGCTGCATGAAGTTGATTACAACTTCACGCATTAACTGCAAACATGCTGTCAATCTGTTAGCAGCCTTAAAATGATGTCATTGAACTGAATAAGCAATTTCTAAAATAACAATAACACTGAACGGATATTATCGTAATTAATGATTGCACTTAGAGATCGCGATTTACACTTATAAATAAAAAAGATACGACGAAGTTGTAACAGGAAAATTTCACCAAATTAATGTCAGATAAGTATAATTTATTATCAAGGAATATCTAGTAGAATAACACAAAACAATTGCGTTATGGTGTCAGTAGAAAAAGAATCTAGTAATTTCGATTAAGTATTAATAAATACGATTGTTGATAGAAAACCCGCTGCATGCTTTTTGTTAATAAAAAACATACCTGCTTTTGCGTATCCCATAATGCCTCCAGCGGCCACGGTAGCGGCGTAAGCGAAACCCAGAAGATCAAGACCCATGATGAATTTAACAAAATATGTTTTTTTTATACAGAAATTAAGTGGAATTCACTGCAAATTCGTCGAATAACCGTGACAAACGTAAGCGCGTGTAAGCCGACGAATGACCCAAACACAAAAAAATAAAGCACCTATTTACAAATTTGACAGTTGACTGTTGTCATTTAGACTTTATGTTACGTGTTTATTGAGCAATTGGCTTTTAGCAAGAAGTTCATTTTACTACATAATTCAAAGCATAGGTAAATTATGTATTGATAAAAAATGCTCAATTTAATTTTTTCCATCCTCTAAGGGCTCAATAGATAAAATACTCGTCGACATGAAATATATTACTAGGGGCTCTTAAAATTTTCATGTCACATGGAAAAAGTATAAATATTTTTAAACGCAATTATGAAGCGATCGTCACAAATGATCTAGTATCTTATTTCGAACAATTTATGGAGATTTCTTTTGCTAGAACAAGTTGATGCTATACATTATGAGAATACTCTTAAATAGCGAATGACAAAAAAAACGAAAACGAAAAGCACAGTAATTCGAACTGCTGTCAAAAACACCTGTCACTGTTTACTCTACCATCAAGAAAATTATGAATTAATTCAAAATCATTTGATTTTCTGTCTAATCATTGTTACCCAGCAAACCACGCCTAACTCCGCGGGTCGTGCTGATAAGCATGAGAATTGTAGAACAATCATTTACATCAATTTCGTCATAATTTGCAATACGTCACTACAGCTGTTTGAATATAAAATTATGAGTTTACTGAGACTACGGCAGTATTTTACGTCGCCGGCGCTGTGCGGACGTTGCAAGTGATGATACAAGTCATCATACCTACAAATAAGCTTGATTTTTTTCTAGTTATTTGGACATTCGACTTGAAGGTTAGAGACCTTGAATTTGTGATTGAAAAAAAAACGAATTTGTTCAGTCACGATGTTGAATAGTGCTTCTAAAGTGACGATTAACACTGGGAACGTACTCAACTTGATCGATATCAAGAAAAAGGCTGGACAAAATGTCACAGAGGAGGTAGGTAATAAAGAGAGTTTAATCTTATAGAATTAGCTCTTGACTGTGTATGAACTAATTACGGTACCTATGTTAATATACTCAGTTCGTTCTTCTATAAGTGTGATTGAGGTTATTATTTGAAATTTTACTAAATTTCATGTCTTGAAAACAATTTAAGCCCTAAATTCCAAACTTCACAGGTGGTCTCTATCTTCCCCGCGCAGCCTCGTGCCCTTTTAGTTGTACTTATAAACGGTTTAACCGTTCAACATAGCAACAATTTTTCTCTATGATTTTTTAAAATGAAAATGTCAGATCTGTTTTTATAAATAAAACTACTCAGCTGAAAGCTGCATTTAGTTATTTTAATTTTTTTCACTTTAATATTTATTTTAGCCATTGAGGCTTTAAGTCCATCAGGTCAAGCCTTTTATATATATAAAAAAAAATCTGACTGCTGCAACATGATTTTGTGTTGATAGGTATGGTTACTCCTTTAATTTTACTTTGTGATATTTCATCATTAACATATTGGGAGGAATATCTACGTCCGATTTGGATCATTATATTTTTCTATAAATGATAACAAAAAATATGGTAAATCTCTTTAACAAGGCAAATAGTGCTCTGTAACGTGTGTGTAAAAGCAAAATACTTATTATCATGACAATGTGAAACAACATAAATCAACATTGACTGTATAACAATTGTAATAACAAAGGAATATTAAATTATTACTTATTGCTGTGATGTAAATTATTATTAGTGTTATTTATTTACAAATCCAGAGTTAGTTTATTGTGATTATCACCGGTTACACCTCAGACCTAAGGTCAATAGAATAAGTAGTAGCAGTAAAATTTCACGACCTTCGCGACTGGCTATAGTGTGTAATTAGTCATACTTATTCTTACATTGTAATTTTTTTTTCACTACTTAATTTTCTGGTATTTTTTCGCGGGAAATTGTTATATCGTTGCTGTGGCTATTTTGAAACCTCCATAGAATTAGGGAAATGTAGGAATTGTGCAATTTTCAGGTTAATTTTCTGTATCTAATTTTGGTGGTTATTTCTATTATTTAAATATTGTGGAATATTATCATGTATTATTTAATATTCCACTGTAGTAACTTGAAATATTATTTAATAATTCACAATAATTTACTTCAACACTTGAGTAATAAATATAGCCACCAAAATTATGTAGCGAAAATTACCTGGAAAGTATTAAATTAAAAAATAAACTTAATTGGCTGTTATTATTAATACAATGATTGAACACTCAGAAAATATCCGTTGATCCGGCCAGATTCGATCCGACGTCTTCTAGCATTCCGTGCCAGACGCTATAACAAATAAGCCACATAATGAACCAGCGGTCTTCAAGAATTTTTCTGTGTGCTTGGTTATCGAATCTTCTTAGCCGTAGCGCCATCTATGAGAAATCTATGAAAGTTTTTCATCACCCAGTTAGAAATTAGTATACATAGAAGAAATTAGCTTTACAATATCCCAAAGCGAAGGAAAGGGAAAGATTTCATTGTTAGATTGGAGTGATGAAAAGTAGGATCATTTTAAGGTGTAATTTCAATGCAAATTTTAATTCTGTAAAGATCGCAAATCAGCCTAAGTATCTTCTAGGCAATCTTGAGAAGAACAATCTATTCAATAAATTTAAATTTAGATAATGTTTCATGACGTATTTATTATAAATACGCGAGATCAGGAACATCAAGAGTTATTAGATTAGAGTGCAATTATCTAAATAGGTATCCCACAATGTGTGGTAAAAATTATAATTTCTTGTAAAAAAAAACCGATACTAGTATAACCATTTTATCGTCGTATACTTATATTTAAGAGCCAGACTCCTGTCGGTGTAGCCTCCTCCACTTACGGTTCATAGCTAATTCCTTGACCTCTTTATGGCTATTCACTTTGATCTTCTTTTTTATATGTTCACTATACGCCATTCTTGGTCTTTCTCTCTTTCTTTTCCCTTCCATTCTTCCCTTCATTATCACTCTCACAAATTCGTTATTATGGAACAAATGTCCCGACATTTTCTCCCTTTTGCCCTTTATTGTATTCAAAAGATTTTTTTCCTTCCCAACCCTTTTCAAAACATCTTCTTTTGATTTCTTTTCTATCCATTTTTTTTTTCCATTCATCTCTGTCTAGTACAGAGCCGTAGCCAGTAAAATATAAGTAAAATGAAAAAAAATCAAAGGACATCACGCAACAATCGCCGCCGTCGTACTCGTCGCTAAAAAATGTAATTTCCTTTTTCTCGAATATTATAACTTAATACGAGTCCACTAGCATTTTATTTCCACTGGGCCTAAACATGTCCTGCGAGCCGAAATAGTCTGTCTTTGTCTTTCTTTGTGTTTTTTCCATGTCTCGCATCCGTACAGTGCGGTACTCCAGACATAGATTTTAATGAATCTTTTATCAATCATATAGATGTTCTCAATAAATTAGAAAGAAAAAAGAAAATATATGAAAATAAAATAAAGTTGACACTTAAATAATGAGATCCACCATTCAGGATTTCTCGGATTACGTATTCAAAATACCGTGTCGTACCGTAGTAAAAAAAATTATTTTATTTTTATTTAGTTGATATGCTACGTCTGCTACATCTAACTTAGCTGATATGCTACATCATGTCGAAAAGTACAATTCGCGGCCATAAAAAAGTACTGGCATCATATTTATTTTTACGGCTATGCAATGATGTGAGCAGTATACTGCGCTCCGGTTTTGAAGGGATGCTGGTCAAACTACTGGAAAATGGGATTTGTTATCGACTTTATGTCTCAGTATAACGGGCGCAGCTGCTGTGCGCCGCACAACTTTGCAAAGCTCTGAGTGGCATAACATCTGTTATATGTAGGTATATAGGTAGGCGTGTTGCTTGCCACCAAGCTCATAACTCGTTAAAAAAAAGAAAAGAAAACATTAAAGAGACAAGTGTATTTGCTAGGTTACTATTATCCGCATATTGCGTCACATTTAAACATGAACATTTGATGACTCATTCCTGTAATGCTTAGGGCGCGTTCCCACTATGTCGTCACGTTTTATTATCGTTGGACGACTGTCGTGTCTAGCTTCCCATATCACGACTATATGTCGTGGACGATTATTTATCGCTGAACGACTGTCGTGACTAGCTGTTCCAACTAGATCGTGACGACAATTTATCGTTTCACGACAGCCTCCTTGTCGTTTGCACGACAGAACCGTTTGATGGACTGCTTGTATGTTCTTTTGGAAGCCGGTAGTGTGTGTTCGCTCGAAATGGATGAAGACGAAATTTTAATAATGTATTACTTTCCAAAAATGCGGAAGAGGAAGCAAACGAAGAAAAGAAAATATAACGTGACGTATAAAATAAAACGTGACGACAATAGGAGCTGCGACAATCTGTCGTCACGTTTTTATCGTGACGTTTTTTTATCATCCAACGACTGTCGTTCTAGCTGTTCCCACTGTGACGACAGTTTGTCGTTGTAACGATAAAAAATCGTGAACGACAATTAATCGTATCGTGCGATATATGAACAACTTCATTTAAATATACATGTCACGACACTGTAAACTGCACGACAATTTGTCGTCACGGCATAGTGGGAACGCGTCCTTACTTTTTGAACACTTTGAATGACTCAGGAAAATTTTAACTTTTCGAATTTCCTATTCATATCATTTAGCCTTTATCATGCTGCTTAATGTTGGGGAACTGGTTTATTGAACTAAGACAAACAGTAACGCCTATACTCAATACTTTATTGCGTACACTGTAGTCAAGTAACGCTCGTTTCGGAGTTCATAAGTGTCAGTTGTTAAACTGCCTCTGTGGCCAAACGGTTACCATGCTGGAGTGCCACGCAGAGGTCCCGGATTCGATTCCAGGCCCGGGAGAAATGAGTTTTGATGTAATTTGGTTGTCTACCTATGTGTGTGTTTTCATGGCACCAGGGTTTCCCTTATGCGGGGCTATGAGTGTGTGCTTCATTAGTTTTTAAAGTTATATTAGTCCCCTCAGTTCAGCGTGTACCCGTTAGTTCAGCGTGTACTTGCGCAGATACAATCCTACAGCACGCCCTTCTGGCGGAAGGCTGCGTCCTGGGCCTTGGTCTATGCCCAGCTGGGCTCCCTCACGCCTGTTACTAATCTGCAGCTCGCCCTTTTGTCCTGTGGCGCAGTCAAGGCCATCGGCGGCCAACTGCAAAGTGTCAGTGTTAAAAAAAGTTAGGGACGTTTTTCTGTTTAAATTTTGTCTTATCGCATGACTCTGCATCTCCAGCACTAACCCGGAGAGCTAGTAGAGGATAAGCTAGATATTCTTCAGTCCCTCTAGCCGCTTAGGTTATTGGGAACTAGAGAGACGCCGTACAGCTCCGCCACCAATTAGATTTGGTAGTGGATGTTAGAGTCGACGGCTTAGCGGTGGCAACCGCTAGTTGTGCAATGCGCAACTGGAAGTGAACGTGCCAGCAGCTCAGGTACCTATCTGGAAAATAGGAAGGTAACTGTACTTGCATCCGGGGCGGCTCACCCGAGGCACTAGCTTTTCGAGAACCGAATGAAGTCAAGTGATGGAAGGTCAGTGATAACCCTGTTCACTGGCTGATCTGGGTTCAGAAGCTGAACTTCTAAAGTGCGCGCACAGGTTATAATGCCTTTCTCGTATAGGTACCTTAAGGGTCGGTAGGGAGGGTCTCTATAATCAAAACTAATGTAGAAAGATATGGGACTGTTTAAATTTGAAACTAAAATCCTTTGCCCACCATACCTACTGAAATCGCAACAAGAAATCCGCGAGTAATAAATAGGTCCTCGATTCTACGAACATCTATAAACCTGAAAAGTGTTAATGTTTTATATCCAACTTCTTCTGATTGTATCGATGGCGTACACTATATTGCTTGCCATCATGGTGAAAGTATTGTAATCGGTGTAAAGTACTCGCCGAGTTTTGCCCAGAGTGGCGCGCCAGACGTACCTACAGGAGGTGATACGTCGTGCGGGGCTCCTTTCGTGCACCCCAAAGAATGTCCTAAAATTCTTTTTGTTGTGTGAATTGAAGACATTGTAATTTTATTTATATTTGACGTCATTGTAGGTATTAATAATAAACCATTGTGTGTTCGCAATGTGCTCAGGATGCCGTTGGTACTGAGACGCATACGACGCCTATTTCGTGTCGTAGTCAACATGTTTCTCAGCAAACATTGCTGACCCGCTACAGTATGGTGGAAGTTGGAACAGCACCCTGAACGCACTGTTGTATTGGATGCGCAGTGTACTGTATGTCCGCCCCGTGTAACTAACCCACGTGCAAAAGAACTGGCTAGGCAATATGCTTTGAAGGGCACTTCATCTCGCAACGGTCAGTCAACGCCCTGCGCTCCCTTTCCATATCAGATTATAAAAATGAGACGAGGCTGTGTGGCACGGTTGTTAGTTTAACTTTTCCGTTGTAATGATCCATCTAATCCACACGTTACATAAGGCTATGAAATACGGACTGTCTTAATTAAAATACAATGTTGGCGATGTATCGTTCTTTTTGGACATTGTTTTCAAAATTATAGTTCCATTTTTATATTTGACTGTACGCTTCAACATATTATATTTATTATCTAATGAAATCACAGGCACATGGGACTTGTTAATTTATTGTGTGTGTGGTGGGCGCAGTCAAAGTTAAATAATGCTTATTTCACAGACCACATTTATTTCATAGGTAAGCAAACACTTGAAATCGTCATACGGATTAAACTATACTGCTCATTCGTAAGGCAGATTCCCCTGAGAAGAATGAGCAAGAAACTCTAGGGTTGCTTACAATATTTAATTTAAATACCTTAGATCGAGAATACCTGAACGGGCTAAACTAAAAAAAGGGTGGCAGTACCCCTCAGATTTTTGCTATTTAAACCGCGGAGTGGCGCTGTAATTTTCTTGGATAATCGTGTCGCTTACCACCAGGTGCACGACTTGTTCGTCCTGTCGCTTGATATCATTAAAAATATGTAATAAAATAAATTAATGTGAGTTATATAACATAGAGTAAGTAGAATACGTACGTTTTTCCAAACACGAATTTCAATTACAATTAATTCAAATACTGGTCACCCCTGACTTCGCGGTTCATAATTCTGTCATAATACCCGTTTCTACCACAACTGCGCCCCAAGTCTACTACATTCAAATCGTCTCAATTGTGTGTCCATGGAATGTTAACGGCAGGATTACGTTTATTACCTACTCTGTTAAATGTTAACAGTCTAGACAACCTCAAATGGTTTTGGTTGATTCCGTATAACAGCGAAAGTGTTAAATCAATAACTTTGGAAAAAATATTACAGTAAAATTGAGGATATTCCTAAAAATTTTCACGATAGAAAAAAACAAACTTACCTCGAAATTTTACAAAAAAACCGATTCAATAGGTACTTTACATATACCAATTATTTTTTTATATCAACTGAACTAAATAGGACACGTGTATAGTATACTATTTACATTTTTCAAATGGTTTTAATTTTGTTGTTCAAAAAATAAGTTCTGAAATAAAGCCCGAGTAAAGCCTGCCGCTCGACCCAAGCAAAATGAACCGTACTAGTACGGGAAAAAATTAAGTTCCAGCGGAGTTAGTATCGACTCTTAAGATAATGGCTTGTCAGTAGCTAGCCTTCGAGCTATTATTTAAATTTTTTGGTATTCTGCTCTTCGATGGTGAGTCGATGGCGTAGTCTACTAATATTAAAAATTTAATTTGAAGATTAAATTGCTGCTTCAACGAGATAAAAATTAAGATATGCATAGTATTTACCACGGTAGTTCTCATCGATCTTTAGGGATTGAATGATTGAATGCCGTCACTTCCTTTTCACTGACACTCTGTTGAGACTCAACTGCCATTGCAACTTTGGGGCCCAGTATTTGAAATAATGGATATTTTTGTCTAATTGAACGATAATTTGTGAAAAATTGTTTGAGTTTTATATGAATGATGAGTTTCTCCAATCGTGTATACTATAAAAGTGTAACTTTTGGTAACAATTCGCAGATCGCATAAAACTTTTAATGCGCGCCACCAACGCCATCTATTGGTTAAGAGATTAAACAAAACCGCGTTGCGCCAAGAACTAAAAAACACAATGGCGCTGAGTGTTTTAGTGACATTTCCTTCTGTCTTTCTATGTCGTCAGTCCACAATAAAGTAAAATGAAACATGTTTACGCCTGTACTTGTCGTGTTTAGACAACATTGCAATGTTGCGCTTGCTTCATGAGTATGTAAGCTGGTCACGGCAGACGGAGCGTTTGTTTGAGAAAACGGTTTAGATCGGAAAAAATAGTTTCAATTCCTAGATAATACCTATTAGTTATCCGCAGAAGACAGACGTTCATCCATCCTCTCACAAAACTTCAAACGTCCATCACACACAGCCATCCTGCTACTTACAAAAACATCGCACTCTGGTGCCTCTCATTCCCCGTCTGACATCCATCCGAAACAATTACTGCCAAATAAGTAATACTCGACCTAATTAAAAAACAATATCAAGTGTGAAGCTTCACTCGGATCATGCGTCATTTTAATTTCGTCGAGTATTACTTATTTCACAGTAATTATTACGGACGGATGTCGAATGGAGAACGGAGGTACGAGAAGGGCATTAAGTCAGTGCAAAAGCACGAACAAGCAAGATTTACAGTGCCTACCGCTGTCACTGCCAGCAGATGATAAACACGTGGCCGTAGATTAAATTTATTTGGAGGGGCACGAACAGGCGCACCATCTGCGCCACCAATTCTGGGCAATCGGAATCTTGAGTCTTCGACCTCTCAATAGAGCAGCAATCGTTCTTCCACTATGCTACTACTGCTCTTGTATGCGTCACCATTATTTGGTTAAGCGTCACTAACGCGTATAATATGTATAACTTATATGAAGTTTTCTCATTCCAGTTATCAGAAAGCATCAAGCTTACCCTAACTGAGTGGAGCACTCAAAACGTCTTACCCGTGCAAAATGGAATTGCCGTAGATCATCCGCAAACTTCCTTTCAACACTCAGACTATATGGTCGTGTCAACGTCGACCGCGCCCCAGGAGACTGTCATCAGTATCACCAGGTACAAAACCTTTGGTACCTTTTCTGTTATGAGAGGCAGATAAATCAGTGTCAAAAGAAAACGAGGTTTTGTCCTATTTTGTATATTAACTAATTCAACTCCATGATATCCAAAAGACACGTTCTAGAAACAGCACTTTAGGGACGTGGTTTGTTTAATTAAATAGTTTCTAAATTACATCGATCAAAGTTCGGTTATCTTTATGCTCAGTTTACAAAACGATACAAGATCTTCTGTAAATAAAAAATGTAACCCTTCGAAATGTTCATAGAAATTATGAAGGTTTCGATATTTAAAATGTGATGTGATATAGTCGGGGCTTTTTCTACAATTTGCAAAAAGCGACTATGTGTCCTGTCCATTTCTTCAATTTCCATCAAGTGACAGTGTGGAATGTGCACCAGACGAACATGTAGCTTAAAAAAAAAGGAATTCTGCAATCCGGTTTAGAATCAATACTGTTATTGTGCAGACCCCACGATGATGTGCAGAACAAGATGGCGGAAGAAGAACGTAAAAACCTCAAGATCGGCGTCAAGATCTTTATTAACGAGGATAGCACCGCTGCCCTCACCGAGTGCCTTGAAAACGGTGAGTTGGTTTCAGGACTTCGTAGCAAAATTTCTAGATAACATTATTTCTTTTTATGACACTTGTAGCGAGTCGCAGCAGTTGCTACAAATCTCTTTGTATTTTATTACTTTTTTTGTCAGCTTAGTTTTAGATCGTAATTCTAAATTTGAATGTGTTTCTTTTTATCGTCTTTTCTTTGATTTATCATTGTTTTATCAGCTTTTCATTCTCGTACACATTTGAAACATTGTTTCATGTTTTTAAGTAATTTATGAGTAGAGTCTTGCTCACTCTTCGTTAGCACCCGTACGGTTTTTTACAGTCCGCTACTGTACTCGAAGCAGCAATCAGTCAGACGGTTATTCGCGTGCTGACATTGCACTGCGTTCCTGCACTGGAATCAAAATATTTTGTCGGCCGTGAGATAGGAGATATTAAACCTCCTGTCCTGGTCATTGCGTTGTGTTTCTACATTGCAATCCGAAATATAGCAGAGTGCGGTAGAAATTGAAAGGACCGTGGTGCCTACTAATATTACACAAGCATTATCAGCCATGGGATGTGATATCTTAAACCTCCTGTGCTGGTCATTGCGCTGTGTTCCTACATTGCAATCCGAAATATATCAGAGTGCGGTAGATATTGATAGGGCCGTTGTACCTACTAATGTTACACAAGCATTGTCGGCCGAGGGATATGAAGTCTTAAACCTCCTGTGCTGGTCACTGCGCTGTATTCCTACTTTGCAATCCGAAATATAGCTGATAGCGGCAGAAATTGATAGGGCCGTGGTAAGTACTAATGTCGCATAAGCATTGTCGGCCGTGGGATAGTAGATATTAAACCTCCTGTGTTGGTCATTGCGCTGTGTTCATACATTGCAATCCGAAATATAGCTG